TAAGTTATTCAACGGACAAGACGCTATTGCTAGATGTGGTTAATGTGATTAAAGTTGGACCAAAGAACTCAGATTGTAACTGAAGTTATTGCAAAAAATGGAGTAACGAACAAAGTGCATGGAGTCTATGCAGTGAAAAAGTCATGAAATCCAATCTCCATCATCTAAACTATATAGATTTTGCCAAGCGAAAATAGGAACTGGAATGCGACAACCAATGCAAATGGACAGGATAATATGGGACGAACGGACAAATTAGTCAATACCTTCTGGATTTTCCACCCCGATATGGGACATAATACATGCACATCCTCTTCTCGTCTGTTAACATCCTTGACCTTTGTCTTCTCGACTAGCCTAAAAGAAATAGCGTCACGTCAGCTCCCAACATTAAAACGCATCGAACCTACATACATAGATTTTCTTGGCCGCTTTTCCCAATTTAATGGGGTCGCGGTTCGAGCATCTCCAGCGATCTCGATCCTGGGCAACAGACTCGAGCTCAGTTGGTGGGATGCCGAGCCTCTCGTGACGAAGCCGAGCGACGCGATCGCTCCATCTCGTACGAGGTCTACCGACAGGTCTTTTGCCGGTCGTCTCGGCCTGGAAGACTCACCTTGGGAGCCACTCGGGGGGCATGCGGCAGACGTGACCAAACCACCTGGCCTGAGACCTCTCGATCCGGAGAAACAGCTGCTCGACGTGGTGAATCTCGCGGACGGCAGAGTTCCGCATCCGATCGCGGCGCGTCACGCCGGCCACTCGACGCAAGAACCTCGTTTCGGCAGCTCGTATCCACGATCCGGTGCTTTCGGCCGTTACCCAAAGTTCGTGACCGTAGGAGTGGGTGGGGAGACGAACGCTCTCAGACACCGAGAGTTTTGCTTCCAGAGAAACTTCCGATCCGGCAACCACGGTTCGCCAAAGTTCCCGCCGAACTGCAGAAGCCTCGGAGATGCGGTCGTCGATCTCGTTTCCGTGTCACCCCTCGTTCGAGAGCCAGACCCCGAGGTACTTGAACTTCTCCACCTGTTCCGGTGGGACCCCACCGACGTGCAGGGTGCAGCGAGCAGGATCTCTCGAGAGGACCACGACCTGTGTCTCGAAGACGCTCGGTTTCATTCCGGCCGCAGTGCATTCGTCGTCGAACCGATCGAGCACGCTCTGGATTTCCCGTCGAGAGCGGGTCGAAAAAACGGCATCCGAGGGAAACAAAAGTATCCTTACTGCGACGTCACCGAACCCAAGCGTACGTCGAACCTAGGCGTATCGAATCATCGCGATGAGCAGTGTCACATCATCGCACGATCAGTACTTTGGCTAGGGATAGGATACGAAAGCTCATCGTTCACCGTTCTCTGTATCCTCAGATGAGAGTTGGAACGGTTTTGTGTCTCTTCGTGCCCATTATGAATCTCGTGAATTATGTTTTTTTTTTTTAAAACGATGCAACATCGTTCGTTAGCCGTCAGGTAAAGGCGAAACTTTTGCGCTTGCTCAACTGTAGACCTCAGAACGCATGGAAGTAGTTTCTTGTGAAGTTCGTGTTTGCAACGAATACATTTTTTCCAAATCCTAAAAATTTGAATGGACTCCCTGTGTATTGGGTGCTAACTTCTCTGCAGCTTTCCTCTACTTCATCGACGAGGTGTCAGAATGTCCTCGTGCTACATTCGTGTACCCTTACGGAAATGTCCTATAGGAAACCTTTAGCTATTTCTTATAGGAAACCTATAGACTTTCCTATAGGTTTTTGAAATACGAAAAACCTATAGGATCCTTTAGAATCCTATAGGATCCCTATAGGGTCTTATAGGTCTCCTGACCTATAGGACTCGGGGAGGATATTTTGGGTTTCGAAACCCAGGCATTACGACGGAAAAGACGACAGGGGTTAATAATGGCACAACATTTCGGTGTAAATCAAAAACCGATTAGGGGTTTTTCCATGGTAGGGGGGACATGCATTATTAATACCAGTACTGCAGGGGTCTGCATAATTGATGACCCCGCCCCAACATATGTCGCTGGATTGCACGTATACATCCTTCGGTAGAGAGAAGTAATATTCTTCTCTCGACCTAAGGAAATATAAGACAGAACCTGGGAGCACGTCTCTAAAGGGCCATTCACATTGTCCTTCGGCGAGGCCTCGCCGCAGCCTCGCCGAAGGTGCGGCGTAGGTTCTCGTTCACATTATCCGGCGCTCACTTACGGAGAACCAATGGTAAACGTGAGAAGACAATGAGATTGCACCAATCTCAGTTCGATGCTGGAATGAAGATGGCAGCGTACGTGAGACGAGCGCTCTTACTCCTGCTCCTCTACGATTGCCCACTGCAGGAAGCAGTATAATCGAAAGCTCTGGATGAGAGAGATCTTAGGTGGCCATTACTATCATCTGACGTAGCAGAACTTTCTGGAAATTGGTGTTTTCTACATTCTCTGCTACAGGGGAAGGTACGAATTCAATCCGAAAACGGTGTACGCCGAATCTAACGGTCCCATTATCATAGTTGGCACAACCTAATTTTGAGTNCTATAGGTTCTATAGGGGACCCTATAGGTCCCGAACTGAACTCTACGGGGCATATAGGAACCTATAGGATTCCTTTAGGTTCCTATAGGATTCTTATAGGAATATATAGGAATCCTATAAGACATTTTCGTAAGGGACAAGTTTCCTCATTTTTGAATAGCAGCTGACCAACTCCTTGGATCCAATGTCGATGGATATTGTAGGTGTAGACTCGTTTTGGCTCTTGGTATAGCTTTTGAGGTCTCGAATAATTACCTGTTCCAGATATTACCAAGCAATCGTGATCGGCCGTGACGCAGGACTGACCTCAAGGAATGACTTCAAGGTCGATTTCGAAATGGGAGGTATCGATGGACTTGCATAGACCTGTCTGCCTTCGCCGGGTCCTCGGTACTGAATCGATGGTGAAAGAACTAAGAATGCCTTTTTTTTTTAGTTTGGACCCACCGAGACCACTGATGCCGTGCAAAGTATTGTTGGAAGCGCCTTTACTGTTTTTATGTGCATCAGATCCTCATTTTTGGTACCGACCCAACGAGGAAAAATGAGTCATTCGTCATCGGTCATCGTACTCCAACTCTCATTTAATCGCTTGGATTGAAGACGGTCGCCCCACGAGAGGCCTCAGCTACGTCATGCGATCCGATTCCAACAGGCGGTCGCCTTTCAAAGGTGGACCACTTTTTCCGTTAAAACTGAAAGAGGAAGAAAAGCCGGGTCAGAGCCCGTGGGATTCCCTTCAACGACGATGTTCGAGGAAATGAAGCAAATCACGTCGACAAAAACACCGCAGGTCGCAGGGTGCCACTGGAGGGTCGCGAATTGTGGCTGTGGATTCCTGATACCATCACGGATTCATTTGGAAGGATGCATTCACCGATTAGCTCTAATCCCTGCGTATTAGCGTGCGTAAGTGCCACTAGACTGCTTTGATGGAAGCTTTTCTTTCGTCTGAGCCTGATCCCCCGAGAATCCCATTCCCTCATTCGCGTACTTCTCGGTGCAGGGATGAAGATTAATTTGAAGCGATAATGGGAATGCGGATGAAGCCTTGACATCCTCTCCTTCGGTGTGCTTTTCGACGCGGCACACAGACGAGCAAACACAGCTGCGCATTCGAAGTGCGTTTGAAATGCACGCAGTCGCTGCAGGACAATCGCAGTCGCTGCAGGACAATCGCGGCCTCCGTCGACGAGTGGAACGCACCGAACCACAAAATCTGGAGTCTATTCTTCACGATCGTTACCGGCACACGAACCGTGTGTCGTATCTGTGCCGGCGAGAGAACCATTCAAAGTACCTGAGAAAAATAATTCAAATCTTGAGGATAGTTTTTATTTTCACAGCCATTGCTGCACATCCTCCTTTTTTTTACAACTCAGGGTGGATTTTGAACAGAGAACTATCCGATGTTACAGCATTATTCCAGGTTAAATGCACGATATTTCCTGGAAATAAAGCAGCATTGTCGGATAGTTCCTTGTACAAAAAACCATCCTCTAGCGTATATCTCTTCCTCCTGGCTCTGATTCTTCATGCCACGAAAGGGGAGAGGGTGAAGCTGGAAGGTGGCTCTTCTCAAACCATCACGCATCAATATTCACAATGTATTTTTGTATAGGCCATGCAGCGAAAAAATTTTCCCAGAGATAAAATTTTTTGGATGTGACGACTGCGTCCTGCTTAGTGGATTTAATCAAACGGAGAGAGATTCGGTTGACTTCATTAAACGCGTGGGGAATCGGACGTAGGAAGTTCCCGATACAGGCATCTCCCTTTTTGTTCAACTCACGATCCTTCAACCAGGAGGATGTAACTATTGCACGTAAAATACGAGAACATAGGAAGGCTTCACGAAGGAAGAACTCGAATGCAGGATGCTTGGTGGCAGCACTTCATCCCCGAGTAGCAAGGTGATCGCGGGCATCAACCGGTGGCACCGGCCCAAACCGATAATGTCCTCCCATGACGGAGGGGAGAAATGGGACAGGTACCACCGTACCTAGATGGCAGTGTATGGTAATGCTGATTCTAGGGCACTACGTGCTATCGCATTAAGAAACTCTCGCTTGCCAGCTATATTTGAGGAAACTCACGAAGAAAGCGTGCTTTGTTTTATGGATGGAGAGAAACAGAGCACCTGGACTAATTTTCCCATAGTTAAGAATTTTTCATTTTTCCATTTAAAAAAATATAATCACTATAATTGCAATTTTAATGATGGAGCTTTTCGCCCTGCTGACCTAGCTGGGAAGGACCAAATTGACCTAATAAAGAGAAACGAGTTTTCTCTTTCGTATTGCTCTCGTGGTCGGTCGGCCAAAATCGCCTCGACGAGCTCACACGAGCGGATGATATGAAACAATACATCCGGAATCGTCTTGTAACGAGCCATCACTTGGGTGTCAGACACGAAAAGGAGATCTCGCGGGTGGACACAGAAAAGAAAAGCAACAGCAAATCAGATGACAGGAAGACCAAATTTAATACATTTACGGTCTGCCAAGGTCAGGAACGGGGAAGTCAACTGGGGACATAAAATTAAACTCGGACAGGTGGGACGAGACGCATCGATGCACTTCGAGGCACTTCGGGGGGACTCGCGAAATAATAAGTACTATCGGGGTTCGTTCCTCGATCCGGCTACCGTGGCTCCGACTATCACAACCGACGTTCCCCGCGCCTCAGAGCTTCGTGGACTCGACGGAGCTGCGGGAATAGAAGAGGAGGTAGGGCGAACCCTCGGGGGCGTCTGGCCCTAGCACGTACTCCATGTCCCCCGCCGTGAGGACGCTCACGATGTGGTCGTCGCACTTCAGCCATCGCGAATCGTCGCTCGCGGGGATGCCGTTCGCGCCCGTCGCGCCGTTCACCGCGGGCGCGTCCACGGTCATGGACGCGAAGTCCGGGAGCGAGGCCGTGAGCCAGCAGACGCCGCAGCACGACTGCGCGTCGCAGCACACGTCGTGCGGCGACGAGACGTTGTGCTGCGACGACGACGACGACGAGGACTTCTTGGCGTGGTTGAAGTACTTGGCGATGCCCGATCGCTTCTTGGCTGCCGATCGCGCGCTGGGTGCTGCCGGGGTATCACAGTGAAAGTGGGCCACGTGTCGGATGTGGGACAGGCGGAGGAACGCGACGTAGTGCCCGCTGCCCAAAGAGCTGCCTTGGTGGCATATCGCGGCGTAGAGCGTAAATGCACCCCCGGCGTGGGGGCCCTGCGGTTCCACGCGATGGTTCCCCGTCGGATGGGCGCGGTGGGGCGGGGGCGGGTCCGCGGTGCAACGGATGCAGAAACACGGCAGCACCATCGGCGTCGGCATGAACCCGTGGTTCTTGCTCGCGTACGTCCCACTGCTGTAGGAACTGGAAAAGAGGATGGCGTCATTTCTCCCCGTCCTCACCGGTGCTTACCCCTCCTCGATCATCCTCCTGCGGCTCACCTGATGTTCATGGTGAACCTCTTGACCTGGAGGACGAGGATTTCGGGTAGTCGGGCGTAGTAGGCGGAGCGTCGGGCCTCGTTCGGATGCTTGCACGTATCACACGAATACTTGTTGTCTCCGGACAGGACTTCGTCCTCCTTCAACGCCGACATCAGCACTTGCACCTGGTCTTCACCTAGGAAACGAGGAAGAACGATGGCGTCAACGCTCGACGCGTCCATTCTAATATAGATTTATGGGCTACATAGTGGATTTGGATAGGTTTTCGAAATGAGAAATCGGTAGGTCCATCGCAGCCTCGTTGGCGGCAACTAGGGACACATTTCAACAGTTTATTTTGGTTTAGGCCTTAAGCCCACTTGAGGTTAGTTTACTGCATCTGCAGAATAATATAAATAAATAAATACAACTTTGAAAACCTCTATTTAAGCATGAAAATTGTACAAATTGAAGCGGGCTCAGATTCATACAAGTTCAGAGATTCCCTTGAACATGTACAACAAACTTAACAAAGGACACTTGATAGTCATGAAATAGGGTAACCTAGGTCATTTCAAGATTAGCAAAATTTATTACAAGAGATATGTACTTTCACCAAAAAGAAATGGAGGTACTTTTATTCCAGACATACTTGTGAATCATCCTCGGATAAGAGCACCCACATATGGTGTATGAATGTAGCGGTGAAACTCTGCATTCAATTAGGAATTGTCATCTGTCATCTGTAAGAGGCACATGAATCTTTCGGGTGCTCTGTGTCAAAAATATTATCATCACACACCAGTGTATCCATCAAAAGTAGATGACGCAGGATGATGATGCTATTAGAAGGATTGTCTTAGTTTACTTTCAAAGTCTAGTCCAATGTTCATGACTAAGTACTCAAATTCTTTTTTAGCAAATAAATTTATATCAGTTCAACTCTATATCACTGCCCTGGATCATCTATTAAAAGTCAAAGAAAGTTAGAGTTGGGATGGTTGCAATCAAAGGCGACCAAGTTTCCAAAAGAGGGGATACTTACAACCAAGACGAGTTCATGTCACTGAAACAACAATTCTTCAACATATGAGACATGATGGGACACAATGAAGCTGGCAGCAACATTAAGAGCAAGACTGAATTAAAATCAATTTGAAATTCAGTGGGTCCCCTTGGAGCAGAGGAACACATACGTGTGGTGGCACGATCGGCACCATCCTCGATGGGGATGCAGATGTCAATGAAGGAGTCTGGCTTCGATGCAGCCTGTTCGCACTCGTAACACATCGTCTTTACCACCACCTCTCCCGTCATGAAGCGGGTCACGAAATCTTCGGCCGCCTCCGGGGTCGTCGGAGCCTTCGGCCTCCCGTTCACGGCCGGCTTCGGGATCATCTTCTTGCCTGTCAGTTGGAAGTAGTCGAGGATGAACAGGAGGCACTCGTGGGCATCCTGCTGCATCCCATCCTCATATAGGCTGTTTCCTTCCCTGTGAATAGACAAAATCACAGAGGGGAGTCAGTGATTGGAGAGTCGATGAGTTATGGACAATAACTCCCATCCTCAAAAAACAATATACCGGGTGGCGCAAAAAAAAACGCGTCGTGTTTGACGCCTTATAAAATCCGTTATGGATGATCTAGGTTTGTGATATTTTCACATTACATTGGAAACACCACAAAATTTGCTTCCTGAAAGTTTCATGAACATAAGTTGTCTGAATAAATATCGACAGTTGCTTAAAGTGGAGTCATAAAATGGGCCTTTCCGCGCACGAGGATGGAATTTCAGGACCGCTCGAATGATTTCTCTACCTTGACGTCATAAATACCGCTTTTTGTGCCAGTTCTCATCGTTGTATTCAGCACATCGTAGAATAGTACTACCGTTGTGCATCGTAGCATCAGAATCGATACTACGCAGAATACTACGATGAGAACTAGCGTAAAAAGTGGTATTCATAACCTCAAGGGAGAGAAATCACTCGAGCAGTCCTGAAACTCCATCCACCTCGTGTGCGGAAAGGTCCATTTTATGACTCCACTTTAAGTGACTGTCGATACTTATTCAGACAACTTAGGTATATGAAACTTTCATAAAACAAATTTTGTGGTGTTTCCAACGTAATATGAAAATATCACGAACCTAGATCATCCATAACGGATTTTATAAGGCGTCAAACACGACGCGTTTTTTTTTTTTTTTTTTGCGCCACCCAGTATTTTAGGTAAAGAAGCAAAATGTAGAAGAGATGCATAGGATGGAACAAACTTGAGAGCCTTGAGGAATTCAATGGGTCGAATGGGTTCGGCAGTAAAGTGGGTTCGTTCCTTCGAGTGCATCTGCTGGAACAGGTCGTGCAGGCAGAGGATCAGCATCTCCACCTTCCCATACCCGACAGCGCCGTCTCCCCCGCAAGTGGGAGACTGACCCCGTTCCCCACGGGTGTTGCTCAGGTGGGTGGCAGCCTGGTGGAGGGCCGCTCGGAGTCCTGGAGTCACACGCAGGGCATATAAGATGCTGTTAAGGAAGCACGTGTTCCCCAGGTTCTCGAGGGTTGCGATGGACATCACTGGTTCTGGATCGATGGTCGTCGTCTCTCGCTTTGCTTTCATGGACGTGGAATCTACCACTCCTGCAAGGCAGTTTCATAATCGTTTCAGCAAGGATTCTTCCTTTTCTCTTCTGAAGCATCTGCACAAGCAACCATGTCCACTTGGACATAGAGTGTCTAATGAGGTTTTCCTGTAAAGAGTGACTCACCAGTTGAGGAAGGTTTCACGGCAGGTGCCACTACCAAAGATGAGCCAAAAGAGGCAGAGGAAGAGGAAGGAGCAAAAGGAGGAGTAGAAGGGCGTCGGCACTTCTTCTTCGGCAGAGGAGGGTCATGCTCGGCGATGCCCGTCACCAGGGTCCCATCCCCCATGGTGTCGGGTCGCTGGGACCCGGGGTCATTGGGGACGCAGGGGCTGGGGTTATTTTGTCCCACCTCCCTGTTTCCCCGTTTTGTTCCTGCACTTTCAACAAATAGCACATGTAAAGCAGGCAACAACAGTTCAAAATATGTCAACATCTTTGCTAAAAGTCAAAACACAAAGGATGCTTCTAACTTTGAGAAGTTTGGCCCAACTTCATGCATGCTGTTCATCAACAGCAGCTGCAGAATCATTTTATGAAAAAAAAGGCTCACTATAAGATCAATTTGTATCCATTTCACAAAAAACAAAGAGATTATAAGTGGAAAGAAGTGAATATGTAACACCACAGAAACAGGATTGATACTCGCCTTTATTGAAGACTTGTGAACTTGATCACAATATGAGATAAACATCTGACATTTTGCAACTCTGATATGAGAAACAAAGACAGGAATGAAAGAGGAGAGTCATACATCACCAACTTGCCATTGATGTCAAAAGCCAACATGATTACAGAGCCTCAACTACCTGACAACATGCCACATTGTTCAACAAGGATCATTCAGCAAGATTGAATGTAGTTCAACAGAGACCAAATGAAGATCATCGGGAAAGAGTTTCATGATGAATCAATCACATTGTTTAACAAGGACCATTCAGCAAGATTGAATGAGGTTCAACTGGGGCCAAATGAAGATAAACCGGAATGAGTTTCATGAAGAATCAAGAACTGTTATATTCTTAAGGGGAAAATAAATATATTACTGAAGGAAAACTCTGCATTGGGACTAACTCCAGATGAAACTATTTTCTTTGGATCAGAACCAAGAGGCTATCACAAGCAACGAGATCAAGGAGTTGAAACAGAAAATGTTTCTCCAAACCTCCAAAGACAAGTCCTTTCTTGTTGATGGATCTGATCCTCTCAAAAATAAGATCACATTGCATCAAGGTTCAAATTCGAAGATGCTGCTCTTCCCAAAATTAAGCTCAGATGCACTTCCATGGGAGGTGAGCTCTTAAAAATTCAGGCAGTGAAGCGGGACTCAGATCCGTCCGGCATCATGAGCAGGACGTTCTTGTTGTTGACCCAGATGAGTCGTGCCGAGACCAAGGGGTTCTGGCGCACTACATCTGGCACTGGTGGGGTGCTGTATGTCTTCATGCATCTCGTCTGGGCATTCCCCAACCCGAACATCCCAGTTGATGTCTACCGCAACGAAGGACATATGCCATGTAACCATCTTCCACACAAAAACAAACACTTAAGAGGTGCATTTGGTCAAGACCAGACCATTACTGCACAATGCATTCATTGACTCATGACATAGCACAGGTCAGAACTAATTGCAGTAACTGAGAACCAGAAGTCAAGACCAAAAAATTGGCCACTTCATACAAGTTGGTGCTCTGCTCCTGATTCTCAAATTACATTCAAAGAAAGCTTCATCATTTGACAATTGGCTGCTTCGCAAAATGGAATTCCCTCAAATGTATATGGGTGGAAAATCATTTTCAAATTGTCCACATTGGCCAGGCCCTCACTTGACTGTCCATAATGACAGAAGTAATTTGACAATGTTGAATTTCAGGGTTGCAAGGCCAAAGGATGGGTGATGTTAGTAAAACCCTACCTCCCACCATTCAATGGGAATGGGTAATTTTTACTGAATAGCTAGCCTCATGTACCTCTATTGTCCTTGTTATTTCAAATTTCAACACCATCACTCACATCTACCATGATGGACAAGGGGATGGCCTATGTAAAACCTAGGAAACATTTTACCATGCTTTCACATTAAAAAGCAGCATTATCCTGGGCCATGAGAAATGCCCTTTCATCATTCTCAGGGTAAAATGTCTATCAATTGAAGACAAAAATGAAAAATTCATGGTGAAACTCATGAGATGCATTACATCAGCATCATTATTAGCATATCTACAGGATCCAGTTTTGTCAACATTTTCCTATGCATAATACCCAATTGGAATTCCAGTGTTGTAAGTTTTCTCAATTACATCTGCATCTGTCACATATCACTCTTTGCATGATAAATTGCAATGTCAGATTTCCCCTGGTCACATCGGCATGGATGTAAAGCAGTTAAAATTTCTGCATCAGGGCTTCTCATTGGAAAAGAAAAAATTCAAATATATGTAAACACTTTACTTAATTATAGGTCTTGCTTATGCTTACTATGGTAGACCAGAGTAACCAAAAATGTACATAATTTATTCTTATTTTGCAGGTACTAAAAACACATATAAAAAATATTAGATTAAGTGAAGGTGAACATAGCAAAATGATAGATGTTCAGTAAATATGTACAAACCCATTCTTCCTAGGAACTTGTATTATTGGCAGTGGCACATGTAGCTTATATTCCTATTGCATAAAAATGAACATTATGATCAATGGTATTAGAATGTGAATGGAAAGACAGACCTGCCAGAAGGAGAGACGGTTCTCGCCCTGGGAGTAAGAAGCCAGGAGGCGGCCATCATGGCTGAAGGCGCATGATGTGATGGGCTGACTGTGGGCAGGGATCATCTGGCACCGTGTCCCGCGCAGCTCATACAGTGCCAGGTGCCCATTACGAGCACCAACTGCAATGCGTCTCGTGTGGGAACAGTGGCTCACCATGAAGAAGCGACAGATTGGTGGGAACACCTCATGCAAACCCCGGGCCTTCAGGTGACCAGAGTCCACACAATGCAGGATGATGTCCACCACCTGCAAATGAACTCAGTTTTAAGTTTCAACATGAGAATCAGTCTCAGTGTTAGGTACTTCTTGTTTCTTTGACTGTCATTGTAAATGCTTATATTAAGCTGTTGAGATTGAGCTGTTGAGTGAAAAGGAGTTTGTTTGAAGGACAAAACAAAAAACATCATGTTACAGTCTAATCAACATAAATTTGCAATACTAGGATACAATGTCTCATAAGTTATGAGTGAAATCATGAACTAAAATAGGAAAAACATGCTCGCTCATCATCCTAATGCCAATGGTCATTATTTTCCCTTAAAACAATCAAACAATCAAATATATATGCATATGGTTCAACATGTTTTGATAATTTTCACAATGATGTGGGGCTTCAGATAAACAGTGGCTCTGACCTCAACAATGAGGGCAGCAACTTCTCCTGGCATTTTCTGGATGAGAGTTTCAATGATGCGTAGCATCTCTGGTTTGGCCCGGTTCACAACCAGGTTGGTGAGATTCACATTCAGTGTCTGTGCATTCTGCTGTAACGTATTGTGCCGTGCCACCTCCCGTGCCAACGTGATGATGAACAGCTGTGGCCGTGCCGTTGCCAGGAGGGTCAGAGCATGTCGGGCTGTACGACATGTGTCTGCCACTGGGGTCAGAGGCAGTCCATAGTTCATGCTGAAGAGGGTAGAGCAGAATACTCTCAATTCATAGCATTGTTAATAGCATTATCCTATAGATATATACATTATAAGGGTTTGCTTTTGCAGTTAGCATGACTTTAAAATTGCACCTCATGAAAAACAAAAAAAAGGCACTACTGCTCTACAAATTTGAATTTTGCATAATGATGCCCTTATTGCAGAGGCATTCTGCAATAAGGAGCATTGATTTTCTGCTTTTAGGCTTGATTCCCTTAGCATATGAAAGGGGAGGGTGAGAGGAGAGGAAAGAACCTGGGGACAAGTCGGTCAGCATCACAGCAGAGCTCAAAAAGTCCTAAGAGGGTCTTGGGGACATCCAGGTAGGGCTCCCAGACAGTGAAGCCACGTCCGATGAGATCCACTGCAGCTCGCCGCAAAGAAGTGTGTGTTGGGTGGTTCAAGGATGACCCCACCAGCAGCAGGTATGTCAGGGCCTGACCTATACATGACATAAAAAGCATTTCAGCAAGAACCTTCCAAGCCTGGCTTCAAGCCAGCATGTGCTTACAACAGTTGCAAAAATTTCAGCTGTGTAATGAAAAAAAAAAAGCAATGCCTTCTTCTAAAGTAGCTCAACTATTCCAGTACAGGTAAAGGTAGTGTTAAACTCATTAGTTGACGTCAACTGTAATCTCCACGTGCTTTTCTCTAATTCAGGTACTGCACAACGCAGATATTTGCTCAGAGTCACATACTTGTCTGTCGAGCAAGGGCATGGTTGATGCCAAATCCCTCAACAATGGCACGGCTTCGACCTTCTTCCCCTTTTCGTTTGTTGGCTGGGTCTGAAATGTCCTGGCCAAATTCTGCTCCAATGACACCTAAGAGGATGATGGCTGTTGCCTGCTTCAACTTCAGCATTGCATGACTGGACAGCTTCCGATGGAGGATTTCCTCTGTCAAACATGGATAAAAACATTGAGTACTGACTTTGAAAAAAATGGCCATGCATGGCACGAAACACAAATGTTCACAAGAAAATATATAGAAATCAATAGGTATTGGCAGGAATATTCTCTGGAAACAAGCAGAGGGCTGAAAACTAGATATATGTTTGGAAACAATATTTTTAACAATCAAGATACTTGACAAACATTGAAAAAAATGAGAAACCCTGTACCTGTAAATTTTACACATAAAACCATACCTTTTGCCGTCATTGAAGGTTTCTGAGACAAAGTATTACATGAGCTTGGCTTGCTTTCATTTCAATCTATTCAAAACCAAGTCATGTTCCAAGAAAGGTGAATCTATTGATAACAATGATTGAGGTTTCAATCATCTGTATTGAACCATTTATCATACAGAGTGAATATAATTCATCTGTACTGGTATGCACTGTACTGGGAAGGATGCTATGCACATCAGATATCTGGCAGCTCTGGTCAAATAAATAGGGAATATTAGAGAAGATGAAGCATCCTAAAACAAAAACCAAAGTTTACTTACTGATGAAATCAAGCCTCATCAAGATCTTGCCTAGTATACAATGCAAAACAAATGTGAAAAAAAAAACTATTTTCTTTCTGTCTATGATATATGTGTAATTATGAATATCTAGAGTGTTCCTCATAAGTGAATAAATTTAACTGATCCATACGTCTCCTTTATAGATTTATAGTTTTATATCTCAGTTTTAACTTTCATGTCTATGCCTACCAGTATTTAAAATTTTTTAAGACAGAAAGGCTGCAGAAGTGCCCAATTATTTCTAAGCTTACAGATAAGATTCAGCCTCACAGGAATTGAAGCTCAAAGGCAAAAATGGAAAATGATGTCATGAGTGATGGGAATCTAATCTAATCATCTGAAAGAATCATCATCTTTTTTTCAGGGTTATTTGCATATACCTAATAGTTCGTTTTTTTTTTGGCATCTGTGACCACACAAACCATGTAATGCAAGATGACTGGCTACCTTTGAATTATACCAGGTGAGACAAAAAAAAGCACTGCTCTTTGAAATTTTATGGCACCTCTGAAACAGCAGCTAGAACTATAAAATTCCTTTCATACACACCTCCACACATCCTTCCAGCATTCAAAATTTTTTGGCTTGTTATCTCCAGCCATTTTTGCACAAGAGTGCTTTTACAAAAGCAACTAGAATTTAATTTATTCACTTGCACCTGGATGCTGACAAGAGGACCTATCCCACCCATGAGGAATGACATTTATTCTCAGGATTTTTTTCCTCTGCAATTCAGAACTCGCTAAGCAGATCTCTGCCTCATCCTTATGTCTGGCAATTTGCATATAATAATTTTGCATCCCAGGATTATCAACAATGACTACTTCCACATGAATGCAGCTTCCTCCAGTTCCAGCTAATTTTAGTCTTCTGTTACTTTTCAGGTAAACTGGTTCCTTGCAGCTTGTGAATCAATCTCTTAACAATAGGCCTACATTTCTTTCATTCTTTACCTTAAAATTCTTGCAAAATTCTCCCAACCCCATCCTTTCACAGAGAGCAGCATTTTCATTGGGAGATGAAAAACCTCTGGCCCAAGATGCATGCACTCCACACCTACCAACTACTCTTCCACTGATACGTTTCCTCACGCAAAAATAAAATTTGAGTCGTCTTTGAATTTTTGCTCCTGTACTAAAATGGCTGGAGAAAAATGAACATGAATTTTTGGAAATTTCAAGGATATGTGGAAGTTGCAGCAAAAAAAAATTTGCCTTGCTAACTTCTATCTCATGAACTCCAATGAATCTCAAAGAGCTGTGCATTTTTTCTGTCTCTCCTGGTATTAGCAAAAAAGGGAAACAGAAACCATATATGTCTTCAGCTGCATCTTCCTCATACTCCTCCTCTGGTTGTTTGATGGCCTCAATTCTCCCAATCGACTCTGAGGGCCTGGTTGCCTCATTCTGTGTTGTAGGCGGAGACTGGAAGGTGGGTGTGGAGGCTGAAGTGGTCAAGGGGGTAGTGGCTCCTGGGGTAGCTGCATTTCCCAAATCAGTATATGAGGGCAGATACGATGCCCACTTGTCCACCAGAGCCTTTCTCCCCTTTGCCCCTATTCGGTTCAGTTCGGCCAACAGCAATGCCTGTGCTGCCTCTCTCACCTAGTCCAATTGAAACAGTGCTCAACTTCCACATCCATACATATAATTAGGATGATTAGGATCTCAGTAGCATGATTTCTTTCACTTCAACAAATAATGAGTACCCTTACCTCAAGGCAGCGATCCTGCCAGCGGCGAGCAAGGATGTCCACCTGGGCTCTCCTGAAGCGTGAGACTCCAGCCTTCCCAACCAGATCAGGGAGAAGGACACAATGCATTGTGGCCAGGAGGCTCCACCCCTGCTTCACCTGCTCCTGCAACTGCATCTGCTGCTGCTGGATCTGCTGCTGCTGCTGCTGCCCCTGTTGTGATGCTGATGCTGACATTTGTCTGCAGAAAAAAAAAACATTTATCATGAAACATGCTGAAGTATGAGTAAACAAGCATTCTTGCTTCCTAACTTAGCATTTCTATGTTTAGTTTCAAACACTGCTTGCTGTTGTGTTCAATATTTTCATATTGAATATAGGTAACCAATCTGTTGATTTTGCAACTCTGAGGTTTATCTCAGTTTTTATGTGCTGGATAGCCTTGAATCCTAGTGGAGTAGTTCAAAACACCACAAAGTGAAGGATCCATTGTCAACACTTAGAGGGGGAGCTGGGGGCATTGTCATCAGTTGGTAATGGCAATAGATGGGTGCTACAAATGCACTCATTCTAGCTGCTTGTTAAATTTAAACTACCAGAGTCAAAGGACTCAATATGCCATGATGTAGCTGCTCCTATGCTCTTGTTGCTGCAGTCTGCTATCACCTATCAGTTCCCTTTGAGTGGAAATTGAGGAAAATGGTTGACATTTTGAACACTAGCTAAACTAATGCCTCTTCCAAGTGACCAAGACTCAAGGCCATACATCACATAGAAGCAGAGATAACTCAACTTCTTTGAGTAGCTAAACTCATTTAATGGTCACCTTGTACTTACAACTCAAGCTCTAATTCAAGTCAATTCCGTTGAATCCTAATTATAATGTCTAATATTACTTCAATTGGGCATATCATTTGTAAATTTGCAATATAGTCATACTAAGTTAAAATTTCAGCATTTTAAATATTTAAAATCCATTCCAACAGATTCATTTTGCATATTTCTTGCTATCTGTTAACAAGTTTATCATCACTACATCCTTATTCCTCTTTGCAGACAGATTGACCCAATTTGAATCCATTCAACACTTCTGAAAAGGGGTGAGAAGCAAAATGGAAGCAGGAAGCAGACCGAAGGAGTCGACGCTTGAATTCCAGTTCTGGGGCAAAGGTGGCACTCTGCATGGACATGAGGGTGTTGGCAATGGCCACGATGCCCAACAGATGATGTGTGCTCAGCATGGAACTCAGCTCCCACCTTCCCCATGACATGAAGGCACTTGTCCTCCCCTCCAATTCCTTGTTGACATTTCCATTGCTCCCATCTGATTTTGACTCTCCATTCCCAAGGGCCATGCGTTCCCATGTTGGCAAGTACAGGCACATGTAGCCTTCAACCATACAAAAAAAAGACAAAACATTCAACTAAAGAGACAAAATATCAAGGAAATTTTCATCTTCTCAGCTGAAATGACCAAGTCAAGCATTGATAATGACCTCCATGCTTCCACAGTAAGATATTGACATAATTGGATCAAATCCCAGTTAGGTGCTGTATTGTGTTGAGGGCTTCACTTTAACCCTAAATGCCTATCTACCTTATTTCTCCAAATAAACGGAGAAATAAAACTCAATAATGCCTTTAATAATCTTAGTAACAGTATCTATCAATTGACAATCAATTGCCAATCCGTCAAGTCCAATCCATCTCTAATAATGTACTTTCCTGCAACAAAAAAAGAAGCAGTTTACTAGTCCTAATAAAATTTCTTCAAAATTGTAGTCACCATTATGTGACTTTAAATTAAACTGGCGCAAAAAAACACACCTCCCTTTGAGAGGATGCCATAGGAGATAGGGATGCGAGGACGCAGGAGGCCGAGTTTTGTCTCGCAGACGCTGTCCAGGTCCGGGTCCAGCCCCCAGGCGTGGAGCATGGACATGAGGATCTGCCCTATCTCCATGTTGAGACTCGTCTCTGGGATCGCCAAATCCAGCTTCTTCTTCCCGCTTCCCTTTTCTTTGGCTTTCTCTAGCCCACCTGCCATAAGTCAAAACTGAGGGTCAGTTGCCAAACATCTTTAGCTCATTTATCATGTGAGCGAAGGAAGGGCAATATAAAAGCATAGAGATTATGGAAAGAAGTGTTTCTACATGAAAACAAACTCCATAATTTCCAAGCTTCATCCAACTCCGGTCTCCCCGCATATATAAAAAATACAAATATTCCAGGAATTTCCATAATCTATTACCACTGTTAATGTCAACGAGGAAGAATTCGCCAGTGAATCAATTTCCACACCTGAAGTCAGAAAAATCTTTAATCAATGGAGCAAATTATGCATGAGAGAGTGGTTCAGCAAAAACTTCGGCCAGCAATCCTAAAGATCTTTCGGAATTGAGAACAATCCTGCTTGATGACAGAGCAGGATTCCACTGCAAACGAAGTATGTCAAGTCATGGAACTGGGAGATATGTGACATTTTTCTATTTTCTGCCATGAAATAATCAATCAGGAAAACCGAAATCTACGATGTGGAAGAGGCTGACTCAGCTATGGTCAAGTCATTCAAGGGGCTACACATTAACAGGCTGTAGATTGATAAATATTGGACTGAGAAGTGCTTTGAACTGGAGGGAGAATACGATAACTGAAATGGTAGTCGCATCTCGGATATTGAAAACGGCATTGATTTGTAGCCTTGTAGAAGTTAGCAAATGACAAACCGTATATCGTGAGGAGGTAATCCACCTAAAAAAGTAAAATAAAAACTTAAGAAACGAACCTCATTTCTTTCCATGCATGGGAAAAATCACACAAGGAATAGATCCTTCCTCATTTCTCAAAAACCGGCGGATAAAAGAATACCAGGAAGGCTAGAGCGTGAATAACACGTCAGTGCGATTTCCTCCGAGTCACATGACAAGAGCCAGGACGCCCTCACTTTTTTTTTCTCCCCCAGTGATAAAAAGAAGATCCTCGAGATCCTCTCTCAAGCCCCCTCCCATGTAAAGACAGATAGGCAGAAAATGTCATTGGAAGAAAAAATTATGATCAATGAATTGCTGTCATACAGATATAGTGAAACGGAGCAAGGAGATTCAGATACAGGGCGTTTCCGAAAATGCTTAAGCATTTTCCTTCGTTTCTACCCCTAATATGTATTTCCACATCAGTGATGTCAGTCCATGTCATGGATTGGATATATTTATTTTTCGCCACCCACACAATCCGGTTAATGACGTTTTCCCACCCAGTAATTTGTGTCTGCCCATGACCTCCCCATCACTAGGTGGCAATGTGAAGTGGCAGATGAGATTCAAATAAATATTCAGGAAAGATAAGCGGTTCAACGATATAAGTATTCCTTTAAACACGAAGTTACACCGAAATCGTGATAGGGCACAAGCCTACTGCTTGAGCAGAGAAGCAATACAGCAACAAAGAAGCCTAATAAAGGTTTCTTTTTCCCCATCCGATTCCCCCAAATTAAATACCTTCAACTTCCACTGAGCCCCTCAGATGTGTTAATATATCAGGACACCCCCCCCCCCTGTTATCCACTATCTACGCCGGGCGATTCATGAGCACGTGCGCGGGGAGCCGACCTTCACTCGTCCATATGATTAATATTACCAAACAAATTAATCATGCCGTCGGAAATGAGTCGACGGTTGGACGCTATCACTCTCGATATCCTTGCACCATCATCATTATCATCATCAGGGGGGTGTGGTCTCGATCGAGTTTTATCCTGACAAAAAAAAATTCTCTGGGATTGAAAATATTCTTCATCGGGTATGAAGAAACAATAAGCTAAAAAAAAATTAGGTCGATAGAAAAAATTATAATATTCCAAAAAACAAAAGCGAAATGAGAGAAACAAACGATCAAAGCCGAATGAAATGAAAAGTGAACATTCGAGCAAAAATAACTCCCAAGAAATGGCACAAACTGCAAGAGAGAAGGTACCACGGGAGTCCCTCACTTCAACAGGAAACTAATTTCCAAGTCCATCAGTCTCAGTCGAAATGAATGACAAAAGGGATCTCAAGGGCAGGTGAATCAAAGAGCCCAGAGGAGAAGGCGCGTGCTTCGGGGAAGGGCGTGGCCTCTCTCCTCCAAAGCGCATTACCCAGTGCATTACTCAGTGCCTTAAACTCCCGTCACTCGAATGCGTCTCGCCGAATTCATCTCGAAGGAGTCCCAGGAGAACAAGGCCTCTCGTTTGCAAGGCTCCTCACTGATGAAGGCCACACGGAATTCCCCTACACGATGTGCAACCAGACGAGATCCCATTGTTAAATTGCGCACTTAACAGTCTCGGCATGAAGTGGCCCTAAGGGTTGAACAGGCAGCCATCGCAACGTATGTTTCAGATTAAAGTCCAGGATAGTTATGCAGTAGGGGAGAACATGATACTTTTTCCCTCTTTCCATAACGGAAGGCCATTTTGAGGTTTCTCAGAACCCTTCTCATGTACTCATTGTGTCATTTGAAACCACCAATTTTCAAGAATTTTCTAGCCTCGCAATTACATTTTCTTGAGTAACAAACTTGCATCTGAGCAATGCAACCCATCAGATTATTATTTTTTAATGATTCACCAATTGCGTATCTGCAGACATCAAGGGCAGATTGAATAAAGAATACAGAGGTTTTTGAAAATTCGAATGAGAATTTTCCAGAAATGTTAAGTCCAGCAACTTTTTCTAGGATTCTGCAGGTTAGATAATGAAAAGAAGCACAGAGATGTCGAGAAGCATTCGATGAAAAATAAGGTTGGATTGGTGACAGAACAAATCAAGCTGCATATCAAATTTTATCATTTTAAAATAAATTGCATTGAAATATAATTTAACTTCAAAATCTTACGTACGTGTTTCCTATGCCATGTTGAATCTATAAAGCTATATAGGATATTCTTCCCGCGCCAAAAACATAACCCGGGAATGAAGGGGTTCAAGGATGTTAAACTAGCATCATATATTTATAGGACGGGAAATTTGCAATATCATACTACTTATGTTTAATTTTTGCATAGGATTTCCAGAATGAAGAAATGAGGTCCTCACAGCAGCGTATGCTTTTCTTTCACTGCACCAAAAAACTGCCTCCCATTTTTCAGCCAACTTTTTTTCCTAACTTTCTTTTTCTTTAACATGTACTGGGACGGACATATACGAGGGCAAATATAACACATAGTAGAGGAAGAGTGATCCTCATCAGACATCCCTGAAGGCATTGCCATATCTTTCCACGCTGTCCGTCACCGAGAGTTTCGTATTCACTGGCACGGAGTATGTGACAGTAACTTCGATGCTCCTAGGATTCTAGGTCCTCCACTCCCCCGATGCGACGGGTGCGATTGTGGCGCATCAAACCAATACCTCTCGCACTGCATACAGTACCCGAAAGGCTAAAGCAGCTGAACCGTCGGACTAGGGGAATACCACCTGCTGCCGGTCGGTTTCTAACCTGGACTTCCCGCGCGCGTGCTAGTCTGATACCACCGAGTCATGGCGACGCAGTATGTATTTTCAATCTTGCTGGAGCAATTTTTATGAGCCTGATTTTTTTAACACTGGAACTATCTGAACCTGGATGGTCACTTTGTTTTATCTCTCTATTCCCAAGAATCTTTTCAAAATACTTCGCCTAATTACTCTCACATGGCTCCAAGAAAAAAAAAAACGGAGTTTCGGATTTCACAAGTTTATATCGAAGCCTACACAAATGGCTAAATTTTTGTATCGGGTTCCATTGGACACAGAACGGTAGTTACAGGGTTAATGTAAATATGAAACTGAAACGGTTCAGGGACTTCACTACGATCAATCGAAAGGCGCAAACATTCCCAGTTATTAGTCAGCCTTGCATTGGCTGAAAATTTCGGGACAAAACACAGCTAGTGTGTTGCTACTGTGTTGGGAACATGCTCGCCTATGAATAGGGAAAGCTCGACGAAATTTTTCAAGAAAAATAAGAATTTGATGGTTGATAATCAGAAAAACCCAAAATCTCTCTTCCTCTAATGGTCATACATGATACATGACCTGTTTTCGCTCAGCAATTGTTTTCGTCAAATGAGGCCAAATTAACCATAACAGGCTAACATCTGCGACAAGGATTTGCCATGGAATTAAAAATATCCTGATATGTCACTACCGATCGACCCCGATGCCCTCAAGCGCAAACGGGCGCCAACCCAGGAACCCCACCGTGTTTTTTCGAGAGTAATATAAATTCCTCCCCCCCTTCCCTCCAAGGAGATAGGTATTCAAAGACTCAGCACCTACAGAAGCACGAGGACCTCGCCGTCGGGTAGGTCGACTGTGACTAAGGTGATTCAGCACGTTTCCCAAAGCGGACCTGCCCACTTCTCGCATTCCGTCATTATGCAGTCAATCATCACACGGGCAGGGAAGCAGGGTCCTCCCCTCATTATGCAGTCACCGCATCGGGGTGCTTCTCAAGGGAACCAGCTCCTGCGCATACGCCCGGCGAGGTCAGTCCCTATGAGAGGCCCGCGAGGACGAAGCCCGATGCATCCGCGTTCGATCCAATCGACTTCCCACGTAAAGGCTACCTGCCTCTCGGATGACGGGTGAACCCTTGATCACGAGGTCTTTGAAAATCTCAGTTTTCTCAAAACTGCAAGTCAGTGGGCAGTCAAAATTTTCCACAAGATGCCTTCGCTTCTCGATTCGTGTCCACTTGTGAATGTGCAAAATTTTACCTTTTCATATTTTCCCCCTTTCGGTGGGTTGAACCATCTGGCAAAATAGCGATCACAAACTCTCAATAGTGTAATCCTGTATCCTAGGCGCAAGGACGAATATTCCTCAATGATCGTTTTTCAGTCTGACAAAAAGCCAAGTCATTATATTGTATCTACCCCTTCATCAGAAGCTGTCTCGAGAAATTATGTCCGATGAGTCAGAATGCGTATGAGGGCGGCGGGGATTCTTGAGCGTGCATTGGTATCCCGCCCCCGTCGTCCCTTTCGTGACGGAATTGATGTCATCCCGCCCCCGTCCCCCCTTTCGTGACGGAATTGATATCATCCCACTCCTGCTTCTTTTCCAGCCGAGAATATGATGGCTTCACTAAGTCTATCGTATTTCCAGCATCTCTCTGAGGTTTTTCCTTCACAGTTCATCGGTTTAGTAGATCGACACTGAGTATCTCATGAACGAGAAGAACCCAATATGCAAGGCCCTAACAAGGGCGGGCAAGGGTGGGCAACAGTCCAAGGATGCCGGGAAGGGAGAAAGAAAGAAAGGGAAAGTTTGCATAATGGGGACAGGGACGTTTCGTACAGGGTGGACAGAATGTCTTGTCACCCCTGCAGAAATTTATACAAGTCCTCTTTTCTTCTCTTCCTTTTTTCCAGTTTAGTTGAACATTATCATGAGTGATGCAAGCAGTTAAACCATTGAACAACGTATTCTACCAGCGTCTGGGTTCACAAACGTTCATAAACAGGGAAGACCGTGAAAGAAATTAGTGACGATTTCCAGCTAAGAAGCTCCATCAAAAATGACTCTTTTGCAATGCGAGCATAAACTCTTCACAACAGGCGACATAAATGATAAGTCAAGAACAGGAAGGATGTCAACCAGAGTTCAAATGGGAAATGTCGCACAGAACATGACACAGTTTTGTTCTGTCAGGAGAATGATGGGGCACAATCTGATCCGCAGGGCAAAATCAACACTTGTCATGTGTAAAACATGAAAGTAAATACATAATACATGCGTACAACAAAAAGGAAAAAAAGCGTACAAAAAACCATGGGTAACAAGACATTGTGACCTTCCTGGCCTCTCTCGTACGGTAGAATCGTTACTGGAAATCGTCACAAGCATCTTCCATGGTCTTTCCCGTTTGTGGAAGCTCGTGAACACAGACACTGGCAACAATACGTTGTTCAATAGTGTAATTGCTTGTATCACTCATGACCATGTTCAACTAAACCTGAAAACAAGGAAAGAAAAGAGGACGTGTAGAAATTGCTAAATGCGTGACAATACATTCTGGCCATCCCGTAGAAAACCAATCGCCAAAAACTACGTTTCGTAGACAAGTGACTTCGCCGAATAACCGGTTTTAGCCAGGAGGGTCGTTTGCTAGAATGTTACCTAGAATAGAACCTGTTAGCACCGTCTGAGCTGAAGGTCTTTCAGCCTTGACAGCTTCTAGACATCAAGACATAATTTCCAGAAGCTTGCACAGCGACGGTGACATTTATGATTTCGGCAATAGAATTAGTGACTTCGTAACGCGGCCAGCATCAATTGAAGGAGGGAGGCAATATATCCAATACAAACAAGATGAACAAGAGATGAAGGAAATAGTATATTGGCGTTGCATTCATGAGCGTGCTCTGTGACCGCTACAAGGGATGGAGTGGATTCCGTAAAACGACCACATGAATTTCACCATCGTGCTCCCGACAAATGAGAAATGGTGAAGAACCATTGGAAGCGAACGGAAGGAAACCACTAAGAGAAGTGCAAAACCCGCTGCCGCCATTACTGAAACAGATACAGATCTGAGTCAGACAGGCATTCACTTCCCATTACTTTCAACAGCAATTTTGGCAAAGGTGTAAAAAAAAGTATTCCTAATGCTAAGCTTTTCTTTTCAAAACTGGCACCGCGGATACTTGTTTTAGTTCTGCGAAACGGTATCATTTCTAGGAAGCAGTCGTTCGATAAAAAGGTCTCGTCTGCGGAACAACTTTCTGTGAAACGCACCCAACCCGCATAAAGGGAAACGAAAAGAGGAAAACATGATAAGTCTTAGCCTCCTTACTACAGCCTTTTTCTCCAACTAGCTCCACACCAAAAACCTTCGGCCAGACCATTTCCAGACTTTGTGAAAGCCCCGAAATTTGTTTCTGCGCATGGAGAGGGAAAGGGAGAGATACAAGCACGATGCTCCTCCTCGGAATGACACCCAGGAAATTACAACCGTTACCAAGCACAAGCTCCCTCAGCAAGTTTTCTTCAAATCTGATCCCGAAATTGAAACTTAGATGAAAAAAAGGGAATCACGAGCCAATTCTGGAATCAAACAATAATTGTGAGCAAAAAATCAGCAAATCAGTGGTGAGCAACCCGCGGCCCGCGAGGCCCTGGTGTGCGGCACGCGGGGCTTTGCTAGCTTAATTTTTTTTTTCCCGCCCTGTCATCTCCCATCCGGAGTAGAGCTCACGTGCGCTCGGGGATTTCGTTACCCACTGCAGGAGAAACGGAAGCAATAAGTAAAACATAACTATATTTCCGCCACAGCGGCAAATATCCCCTCACTCTCTTCTTGGTCAGTGTATTATCGCTCTCTGAGTTTGCTTGGTATTATGCTCAATAAGAGGTGATACATTGTTCACATGTAGCATATTGTTGGCATCTACTAATTTAGTACATGGTTTACCAAGTCAGACGTAGGATTATTTTAGTATTCTGCCTGTAATTCAGTATTTAAAAAATACAAATAAATAAATACATGCGGCCTGCAGCCAAGAAAGGTTGCTCATCACTGATTTAAATGAAATAATTATTAGAGACTTCATTTCCTGAAAAGGTGAATAAAAGTATCCAGTGATGGTTTCAAAAAGTTTCGCAAAAGGGCGAATACTTAAACAATCCCCAGAACGCCCCTAGTTAAAGTCCGACAGCCAGAAAATGCTCATTTCGGACTAAAAAGCACTATTCGGCAAAATTTATTGGTAGGAATTATCAACGCCCAATAAGGAATACGAATTCCTCCAAGAAGGGAAAGGCGAGTAAGGAGAGTTCACATTTCTGGAGAGCAAGAAAATTTATTGCCCTCCCGAAAAGTTTCCAATTTCACTTTGGTCAAGACCCGCCCACGATCCCCAGCCTCCACCAGTGCCTCCAAAAGCAAACGATACTGCTCCTGGAATGGACCGGGCCTCGGCTCGGTTTTAGATCTGGCACTGAAACCACACTCCGATGACACATAACCGGGGGCTCCTTAGCGCAGGCGCGACACGCTCCATGCACACGTGCTCGTGTCCACGTGCTGCACGCCCCATACAGACAAAGCTACATTCGAAGACTACTTATCTGAATTTCGTATGGCAAAGAAAAGCGCACAGAGTGCGTATTCTCATCGTATTAACCCGAGGCAGTTACGCTCAATGAAGGAATAAACAGATTAATTTTTTTTTCACTGTGTGAATGGAATGCCACTTCCAGGAGGTTGGCGTTATCACATCTCACTTCAACAGACTTTAAGCACTTGAACCTTGAATGAGCACTTGGGGCTGATGAGAAATGAGCTACATGCGACTGCATGCCTGAGTATATGAAAAAAAGACAATTCAGAAGGAAAAAAAAGCTGAGCGATGGAGAGGCAGCGGACTGAAGATCCCTTCCATCTGTCCTCGATCGCCCTATCGAAACTACTACACGAGTCTTCATGTATTATATCCTAAATCAAGAGGAACTAAGAGACCTACCAACAATAGGGAAATCGTCGTGATCGGAGCGCGGAATTTCGAGCAATGAACGAGGAAAGAGAAAGATTTTCAATCAAGTTCGGGGAGGGTGCTTTTTTTTCTTGAAATGGTATATTAGGCTCCATAGGAAAACATACCTTAATTCACCCACTCAGGAGATGAAATTCTGCGCATTATTCTGGTGCAAAATTCTTTCAACTGTTAGAATTCAAGAAAATTCCACTATTCCATCGAATTCAGAATCGTCGTTGTGAGATATTTCCAAAAGAGAAAGGGGTAGGACAGACAGAAAACTCTGGGGCCTCCGGAGTCCATTTCGGTCGGCGCCAGGAAAAATTACACCGTCGGAAAGAGATAAAGAGCGTCCTTGAGAGAGTGGGAGAAGCCCCCCCTTGGGGAGAACTCGGTCATTTCCGCTTAATTACGACAACGGTAGCGGAGGGGACGAGATAGGGTGAAACTGATTTTGGTACTGCCCCGTGGGCAAGGCGAGGAGATCCTCCGCATTGGGATGCAAGGCGAACCGAAGGTCCACTCCTCGTCAGGGGGTATAAAAGGGGGGAGGAATCGACACTGGGCATCCAACAGGGTTCCCTCAATCGGTTGATCAGTGCAGTTGCTCTCAGTTGCAAGGCACTTACTCCAGTCATGAAGGCTTTCGTGAGTTTCCTTCCATTCTTCAGATTTTCCCCCAAAGAGTTTCGTCGCTTTCCTTCTTAAGTTATCACTTTTACATGCTCCATCTACATTTGTTTCCTCCAGATATTTTATACATCAGCAACTTGTTAATAACTTTTACATCGCTTTTCCATCTTCATTCTTCCGAAGAGCCTTTTCTAGCAAATTCGACAAACTAAAAAACAGCTATGAAACAATATTCTCAACTATATTCTTTAATAGTATTCTACTTGGAAATCTTATCGGGAAACTTGGAACAATAAAGCTGTCTCATACCCAGGGACAGCATTTTTTTCTTTACGTTTCAAGAAGAAATAAGATCAGCATAAAATTCACAATGATCCTTGAGTTTCCACAAATTGACGAAGTTGAATAGTCAGTCACTTGTCGAATTAGACGGAATGATTCTTAAATTCGATTTATATAACTGATGAATAATTAATGCATGCTCTGCTCATGGTGTTTGTGACTTGTCTGCGTGTAGCTGGTCCTGTGTGCATTGGTGGGCATCAGTCTGGGAGACGTGGGGTACCCATACGTCCCGTACGTACCCTACCTCCAGAATGTGTACCACACCCAGCCCGCGTATCATTACCTTCGCTCCCCAAACTTCGCCTACAAGGTGGACTCGTACGCCTTCGACCACGGCTACTACAGACACGCACCGGTTACCTACAATCCCTACGTCTACCATGGGGCCTACGTCCAGGCTGCACCTGCCTACGCTTCCTCTCAAGTACGAACACGAGAGAATAATAATTAACGGAATAAAAGGAATAAAGGGAAAACGAGGGGAGGATGCTGTAGATTCTAGCGCCCAAAAAGTAATGGTGAATCACAGCAAGGCCGACTTGCAATGTACTTTTACGGTCAGTTACTTGCGTCAGTTCGTGTCTGATCATCTTAACTTGTTTTAAAACTTCCGGCAATCCTATTTCCTTTAAATAAATTCTCTCCTAATAGACTTTCTCCCTTTCTCTGATGTGAATTGTTGAACGAAGGAATTCGTCAATTTGTATGTTCATTTTAGTACCGATCAGAGGGTCCATTCGGAGAAGGAGCCTTCGGCTACACGACCCACGACCAAACCCACAATGCCGTCCGAGATGCTTACGGTCGAGTTTCCGGGTCCGCCTCTTTCATTTTTCCTTGAAGCTTCATATTTCCTATTGCATTCGAAAGAGCGAGAAAAACTGTCTTTTAATCTTGGAACTAGGTCATACTCGTACTTGAGCCCAGAGGGCAAACCCCTCGTGTTCGACTACAAGGCAGACGAACACGGATTCCGAGTGAGCTCGAACGCCCTGCCCAAGGCACCGGAGGTCCCCGACGCACCCGCCCTCGAACAACCCAAGGTAGGGCTTCACCATTTAATGCCAATTCACACTTGATGAATTGAAACCTTTGTTCACTCTTTGGAGAGGACCGCATCTGATCAAAACACTGAAAATTTAAATTATATTATTGCGTTAACGGTTCCAAACGTTTCAAAGCAGTATTCCATCAAATGACTCATTGGACTGATGGAGAGGCTCGCAATCTCTATTTTGTGAACCCATGAATCATATTTTTCACTAGTTTTCTCTCTATTCTGAAGGTTCCTGTTAATATCACTAATAAAGAGATCACAGTTTCACTTGGACTACTCCTTGATATTTCGTGTTCACAGCAAGTGGACTACACCGACGAAGTGAAGGCAGCCCGAGAGGCCCACTTCAAGGCAGTGGAAGAGGCCAAGGCCAAGACTGGCCACCGGAGGAAGCGAAGCGTCGGATACGTCTCCTACGCCGCACCCTACGTGACTCCCTATGCCTACCCAGCCGTCCCCCGAGCATACTATGCCTTCCCGTACACCTTCCCCCATTACTCTCCGCTCGTGGTCAGATCCTACGTCGCCAAAAAGGAGGAGGAGGAGCCGGCAAAGGTGGAGAAAGACGACGACAAGGACAAAAGCAATGACGACGATAACAGCAAACCTGAAGAGTCCAAGGAGGAGAATGATGGCTACCCCGCAAACACCTACCCCCTGCGCACCTACAAGGTGACCACCATCAAGCACAAGCCACTGTTGTACAGGGCTTATACCCCTCATGTCGTGACCTATGGCTACCACTGAATGATGCAACGGAAAAGGACTGCACATGCTGCACGGAGAGAAACTCAACTGTGATCAGGATTCCCGTAATTTGGATGATAACCGACCAAATTGCAACAGAGTTAAACTCGCTACATGAATGCAGATATGCAAAAAATTTTCTTCTAGGCAAAAGACATGTGATGGATCTCTGGTCCATGATCCTCTCAAGAAGGCAATGGGTTTCTCCTGGTTTTGTTCGTTTCTCTCGCTTTCATTCTCGCTTTCTTGTGTTCCTCGTCCCTTGTCTGTGCCGTCCCGTCTGCGTTCTTGTTTCCCTTTATAGAGCAATTATCCTCGTTCGTTCATTCCAATGTGTACTTGAGCATTAACCTGAATTCACCGAGGAGTCAGACAATAAAGACGAAGGTGATTCAAAACCCATTAGTTATATTCCCTCAGGACACACCCAGTATTTGTATCTTTCACTCATAAAGCTGACCGATACATCGTAAAAAAAATTGATGAGTCGTAAGCGTGTCGTTCGTAACTATCAGCCTATATGCAGAATGCCCAAAAGAGATCCATTCAATATTTAGTCAATAGTTCAGTCAAATGAAGAAACTAAAAAGAACAAAGTATAAAGGCTCTGAAGACGTCCACGGGTGAGCATGAGATTGCTCTATATTATATTGCACGCACACATACACTCTCTGTTCAGGTATATACAAACATATGCATTTTCCTCGCTGGTATTTCAGCTTCAATACTGACTTGCTGCTTAAAATATCTTAGCATTGAAATAAGCACCAATTTCACATCATCTCACAGAGCATAACACAGATGGACATGTTTTTAACCCTCTGTGTCCAATGTGACTTCAGAGTAACAGACTGAAAATCATCACTCATCCTGTAGAATTTAATTACCATGCCACTGTGACTCAACGTATCAACTCAACTCTAGTTGAGATAATGAAGGTTAATGAACTTCATTTTAGGTCTTGTTCAAATTAATAGTAACTAAATTGAGTTACTAGTTTTTTTTTTCCCGTACGAAATTAATTCGAGGGAGTTAACAGTTCTCCACGACCCTAGGGAAACTTGGAGATATTGAAGGCGCAGCCGGAGGCAAATGGTAAATCGAAGCCTACTGGCTTCCTGGCCTTTGGACGGACGTAGGAACCAGACAAAAATTACGAAGTGAATTTGACTGGCCATTCTACGAGTCAACTCGTCGGAGAGCCAACTTAAATACATGGTGTGTCCATGGATTTTCGCAACCCTTACACTGACTTGTGAATGGAATTCCCATCCCGTTCGAACGAGCATTCAGATTTCTGACAGTGAAAGGCGACATGAGGTGCACCCTAAAGGCGCCAAAAAATATAACAAGAATGGTTCTTAGCAGGGCACACAGTAGAGGATGGGCATCGCCATGATAACTAACCTTTGACGGCAGCATCACCATCTCCCTGAGAACCTCTGCGGCCCAAACTCTCTGCCTTGGCCTGGATCTTTTGCTGAACTGACTCGGCTCCTTCCTTCACTTTGGCCAGGAACCCTGTGCAAGTCCATATTTTCACTAAGCCTTGAGATCAGAAGTGCACCTTTGCAACAATAAACGTGCAACAAGTAAACGCAACGTTCATCATTCCCAAAATCATCTATGACCACGGAAAGCAGGTTGTCATTAACATAAAATACCATTCAACATGCGGTTTAGCATGCACAAGATAAATTCAAAATACATTAGTTAAGAAATTTGAAATAGGGCTCCTATGACTGGTGATGCTCTGCTGAGTTTCAGAGTTATTTTAAATGGGAATTAGACGAGTGGTGTTTCCACACAATCACCAGATGCCTCCATTGTTTGTCCTGCAGAAACTCAGACTTGGACACATTTTCCATGAATCATCAAAAATGCTCAAGAGTTTTTTCTATTGTCTATGTAGGTAGTCACATTACAACTGCGAGGCATTCCCGATACTTTTCATATAACTGCAATGTTAACTGATGCAATGAGAGTTTTAATCAAGAAAGAAATGAAGTACAAGTGAATACGTCCTCAAATCCACTTTCTCTAATTAGCCAAATCATGGGGTGCCAAAACACTAAGGCAAGTAGTTTCAGTTCATGTTACACTCATCCAACCTTACTTAATGACCATTTGGGAGTTTTTATCATTTCATTTCCTGCTGTGGTATGCAAGTGAAATGACTATTTTAATCTAGAAAGTTCATCCTGCTGGCAACAAAAAATATGGGGAAAACTGGAATGCAGCTATCACAAGATGTGGGGCTTGGTTGGATAGATAGTTGATTGAAACAGATTGCCAGTTTGTGCACATATCATTTCAAACTCCCTTCTCAACTGAAAATTGAGAAGTGAATTAATGTAGCGATCCACATCCAGCAGGAAGCTCTTGTAGATGATGGTAAAATAATACATACAGGTATCTAATTCCTTTATGCTTGTCTCAATGCTTCCAACGTACTAAAATCGTTGGACTGAATTTGAATTACTTTAATTTCAGAGCTTCAAAATGTTGAAGAATGCAAAGTAAGCTTGAGCAAATTATTACAAAATGACACACTGGCATGATGACACTCAAGATCACTCAGCTTTTGGTGGGTGAATGTTCACTCAGTGGATTGACAAGAAGTGGTGCAAGTCTCCCATGCAACACCGTTGTAACTGACTTTAGTACCGACTTTCATAACACACATAATCTGATCTCACAGTGCTAAGATGGAATAACTCAAGCAAAAAGGACCTATGAAGTAGGATGCATAAATGATTGAGTGTGACCTTATGTATTTCTTCTTTTGGTTCTATTGCATGAAACTAGACTGAATTGCTGAGGATAAAGGACTACATAGTGGCAGCATTGATCAAGCAGAACAGTCATCTTCACATTCTTCAAGTTCTATAAACCTCTCTGTGATAGGCAAAATGCTTTTTCACGAAAGCACTGTAAATAGATAAAATTAAAAATAAAGGTTAACAGCAAAACACTCTTGCAAGTGAAAGTAATGTTGTACAAGAACACTGGCTGCATTGAGCTAAGTTGTTTGCCATTGCAGGTTTTCAGAAGTGCTGCACATAAATACTTAGGCAACATAATCATTCCAGAGGCAAAAATTTGTCTACTAATTCAAATTTAAAAAATCAACATGATCAGTTTGAATTCATTATCCTACTATAGCTTAGTCCATGACAAAATACCAACTGAAAACTAGTAAGAACAACTGGATGGAAATGGATGATATGTGGAAAGCTCCCTGAAAGATTTCTAATCAGAATTTCGTTGCTTACCTCACTGCACTTTCATGGAAATTTCATTGAAATAATACAATTTGATTAATCAAACAATGAATCATATTACCCCACAATAAATTATAATTCAAAGTTTGGTTTCCTGGACAGTCCTGAATTCGATGCATGCAGTCTCACCTGAAACTCATGCGAAGCAATGCTTAAGGCAATCCCTGGAGACTTAGTGCTTTCAGTAGATCCCAACTCTTCTTCAATGGGTGAATTTGTTACTCAATATAAGCATGCAGATCTACATGCCAGCATGAGTGGTGGACAGGCACCAGAGAGGGATAACTGGGATGTTCACTAGCTACCTCTATACATTCTACGGGTGTGATAGAGCCTGGGGGATCCTGCTCTACCTTGGATGTCCACTGCAGTAGGCATATCCTTCTCTTTCAGCCGCTTCTCCATATTCTCCGCCTTGTCCTTCACACGGCCCAGGAAATCTGACACACACCGTGAGTCATGATAATACAGCCTACTGACCCTTCCCTCTTCACAGAGGGAAGTCAGAGCTGTGTACCTTATCAGGTGAATTGACCATTGGCTTGATCAAAGTTTCAATCAGAAAGTTCTGTTTGCATCTACAGAGAAATTTAATAATATGCATGGAAACAGATTAGCATCAATTACTTTGCAAAACATACATTTATTAATTTGCTGGGTGGTGACTAAGCTCAATTTGAAATGGCATTGTCTTTTCGTGGCTTTTTTTTCATAACAAATGCTATTTGTGTGAAGCTATTTATGATTTGTCTGGAATTGAGTGTCTTGCATGCTGCTGGTTGGCTTGTTGCAATGGCTCTTGGGGTGCTACCATGGGTCTCTGAGAAATGCCTAATTAGAAGCTATAGGTCTACAACAAAAAAAAGTATTTAATTTTTTACACTCACCGACGATTTTGTGCTGGGCATCAGGAGAGCCACTCTGGGTGAGAGCAAGAACTTTCATGTACTCAGCCTGCTGGATGAGCCCATGGGACTCCATTGTGTTTGGGCTCATGAGGCGATACTCCTCACTCAGCAGCTGGATAATCAATGCCTCAATGTCAAAGAAGAGAACATGGGCATCAGCATCCTGTGGATTCGTCTTCAGCCCCTGGATCATCAGTGGACATCCCCGCATCCTCTCGAAGTCCACTGAATCAGGGATTGATGACTGTACTGGGCCCTGCAGCTTGTCCAGACCCCTCTGTCACAACAGGATATTGTTACATCTTTCCAACCTCTGTCATCCAGATCACAAAGGAATTTTATGAAAATTTGCAACTTCAAAAAATGTATGGTTACATTTGTCTGCATCAAAAACATTACCATAGCAATGTGTTGCATCAAGCACACCTACTAAAAAACAGAATAGGATCCACTTCTTTGGCATCAATGTCAGCTGAGCTCCACCCATATAAAAATGGATGCAGACATCATATCAAAGTAGAGAATGTAAGCCAACCTGGGCAGCATGACGAATGGCAGCAAGGTTCCGATGCCTGAGACCACGAAAGAAATGGATGGCTGGATTGGCCATTCCACCTTCACTACTCATGGAGACGTTGGCATTTTCATCACATGCTGAGAGGGTCTCCTCAGCATTCATCCCATGAATCACTCTATCGAGGTGACCTGGCATCATCATACCATGTACATAAATTCACTGAGGTCACTGAGAATAGGTAAGAAGAGAGATGGATGAAAACACACCGCTCTCCATCTGCCAGATGTAGACGGTTCCATCTGAGCAGCCAACAACCATGAAGTCATCCAAGGGTCGCCACTTGATGGCTGTGATGGGAAAAATATGCCGGGATGCCAGTAGGATACACTTTCTCTCCTTCAGGGACAAAAGGGTGACTGAGTGGTCACTGGCTACACTGCAGATGCATTGCTGCACTCGAGTCTATGAGAGAAAAGGAAAATCACATGCCCTGATGCTCTTTGGATCTACTCAGGAATCATGTAGCCTAAGACATCAAAGGTTATTGGAGATCCAGCATTGTTAAACCAGTTCAGAATCAAAGAAAATAAATTCATTCAAAATATGCAAAACATATTTTTCCAATTAGTTAATTTCTTAAGTATTGCTTGATTTATATTCAAAGTAAAAGGCTTGACTTCCAGCTAAGGCATGACTTGTTTAAACAGCTGGAGCATGGAACCACATCAAGGCATCTACTAAACAAATGCTGAAGCACAAGATACCACAATGCAAGTCCTTACATCTCAGGTACATGCAACATCAAAAGTTACAGGACCATTTTGAAACAAAACTATATAATATGTATTATCCACAGAACTGACTAAGCAGTGTTCAATAGAAGCCTTCAACACTAAGCGACAGACCTAAAAAACAGAAAAATTTGGTCATTAGCCTTTCTTCACAAAACAAATTTTGTGACAATAAGTTAATGACCCATTTTTTCATGCCAATTCAAAATCTCCAAGAAATTCAGATACTGTAATTTCAAGGCCTTGCAGACACAAGAAAAAACTCCATGGAGGTGACATTCCTGCTGGCCAAACTGAGTTCAAGTGACCATTCACAATTTGCTGTGTCTTGAATGCAACTGGATTTCACTAGGTCTTGCTGAAGTGTTTAAAGTTCTGAGGAACTGAGTTTCATCCAAAAATGTACCTTGGTAGAGACAGGAAGAATATTAAAAGCATGATCTTTCATCATTTAGATTTTAAAGATTTACCCCTTGTATTGGTGCATTATGAAGTTTATATCAATATTTTAAAACAAAATTGAACACTTCTAGCTTATCTTCATGGATCAAGTAGATTATTTAGTTAGAGATGTGCAAAGGAAATATTGGAAATTTGAATGTAGGAATGGAACTTCCACAACCCCTCAGAAAGATTCTGCATTTTGCATAAAAATGGCATTAGCAAGTCACTCTGCTAATTGGCTTAATGGATCAATTAGAAATACAGGACTCAGACTCAGCTTTGCACCACATAACGCAGTAACTAGATGGTGTGCTTCAAATGAATAGCTTCCTAGAGCTGTCAGCTTGGATCTAAATAAGAACCAGATCAAATACCAGTTTGGTTTGATTTCTAGAAGACAAGCAATTAGTTCATTTGAGCCTTCTTGCCCTATAACTTTTCAGAAACACCAGAGGAAAAGGAGAAGGAAAGACAGGGATAATAAATGTGATGGAATGTATGAGTCATTGAAACAGGCATGCCAATTTAAAAAAGTCAAAGTAAAAGTAAATTATTATTGCTGCACATAAGCAAGATTGATTAAACTTCTTCCAAACAAGAAGTTTGAAAGAAGCTTCATGGGTTCATTCTTGCTCATATGCAGAAAATTTCAAGATTAAAGAAATTAGCTGTGTTTCTCTATAATTCATGTTTCTTTGATTTCAAACTTTCAGGTAAAAGGAAAAGAAATACCATAAATTGTGATTTCATGAATGAGAATAGCACACCTTATCAATAGGCATAGTAGCACCTATTACCTTTCTTTAATCCCTTCCAACAAAATTCAACCTCCTCGTATTCCTCTCCAAGAGCATCAACAGGAGTGAAATTTGGCATGCTTCTTCCTCTCTTAACAAAAAATCACTTCAACATATATGAAGCTCCATCTCCCCAGGGTTGTGGAGAACATTGAATCTTGCTTTTTGAAGATGTGAATTTCATTCCAGTATTTTTATTTTATTCTTTTTCTCCCCATGGGTAGCCTCTCCTGGGGAGTTTTCAGAGGAAAGAGACCAACCAAACAAAAGATTACTGACTTGTTGGTGTTGATTGCTTTTTGTTGCTTGCAGTGCAACATTTCATTTTAAAAAAAGATGGTCAGGATTACAATATATTCTTCGAGCCCAAATTCCCCTCTGATATACAGGGTGCACGAAAAGTTTGGTGGCAATGTTTAAATGTTTATAACTCTTTGAATTCACAACTAAATTTTTAAAACTTTTTTCATTTTGTAGCATATTATTTTCTTTATTTAGCTTAATTGTCAAAATATTTCTAATGTTTATTTTTTAGATGTATAAATAAACGAGAAGCAATAATAGAACTTTTCAAGAGCGGAATGAAGCAAGCAGAAATTGTAAAACAACTTGGTGTTTACAGTACAACTGTGTCTAGATCAAATGATATCAGGAGCTTGGCACAACATCTGACCACAAATAAAGTGGAAGACCCGCTGCCACTGCTTGCACTTCTGCCAACTGACAACACATTAAGAAACAAATCAAGCGAAATTCACAACTGTCAATGCAGGCTATGGCAAAAAGATGAAAATCCATGAGTTTTCAGTGTACAAAATGGTAAAAAATGAGCTAGGGTGTCACTCTGACAAGCTGACAAAGACCCACTTCCCAACCAAAAAGATGAAAGCCAACAGGCTTGAAAAAGCACAAAAGATCCAGAAAATTATCACTGCTGGCTGTCATTCTTCAATTCTTTTTACAAATGAAAAAACGTTTGCAGTCAAGTGAAGCCACAGCCATCAAATGATCAACAATTGTTGCAAAGAGACCAATTCCAATCAAGAGATTGTCAGTCGCAGTAATTTTCCAGCTTCAGTGATGGCTTGGGCAGGAATCACTTCAAATGGCAAGATCCCTTTGGTTTGCATGGATAAAGGAGTCAAGATCAATGCCAAATCCTACCAAGATAGCATTTTATGGAAGGTATTACAACCCTGGGCAAGGAAACATTTAAAAAATAACGTGGATTCTTCAACAGGATATGGTGCCTGCATATTCCACAAAGTCAACAATTTCTCTTTAAAAAGAGCTCTTTTCAAAAGTTTGGGACCAAAATGTTTGGCCATCAAATTCTCCAGATCTCAATCTAATAGATTATTCTATCTTGGAGAAAAAAGCCTCAGATACAAGATTCAACTTGGTGGATTTGCTGAAAGTGGCCCTGAAAAAAGCCTGGAGTCAAATAATGAATGAGGAATTTGCAGCCATCATGGATAATTTTCCAGAGAGAATCAAGGCCTGTATTGCCAAAAATGGTGGCCATATTGAAAAGCGACTTTTATCATTTGTTCATATTGCTGCTTTTCATGTGTATATAAAATTTGGTATGATTCTGTCTTGTTTTAAAAAAGTTATGCATCAAAACATTTGCAACTGAACTTTTCATGCACCCTGGGGAGGGGGGGGGGGGAAATGAGAGAATTTGGAACATTACTAGTTAAGAAAGCTGGAATGTCACCAACAAGTTTAAACACTAACACACATGCTGGGCTGTGTTTGCTGAAACAACCAGACTGCACTTGACATCTCCCAGAAAGACAACACATCACTTATTTAACCCTTTCCACTGTGTTGTCAGATGTGGTGCAACATTGCAATTTTCCAAGTTGATTCTGAAGCTAGTTAATGATAATTATCACTAATAAAATTAGCTCATCAATAGTTAAAACAGTAATTAATAACTTGCTTGTTTCTGTACCTTTTATGAGTTTTTTCATGCTATTGCCATAACATGCACAACATACACAATTCGCTGCAAAAATGACCAGAGCTGATGGAGCTGTTGGCTGAGTAGGGTGCCAAAGAGGAAAGGATTAATCCTGGTTTTTATGAACAAGTGTTACAAGAAACCAAGATGAGTCATGCATGGACAATGAAGGAAAACCACACTTCAATACAGGGAGTAGTAGGCAGGTAAAGTGGAAAAGAAGCTCACACTGCAGTTATGTGGTGGGACAAGGAGCTGGGTGACCTCCCCTGCATGGACACAGAAGCGATGCAACAGAGCCCCTGAGAACAGGTCCCAGAGGCAGACAGAGAAGTCCACCCCACCAGACACGAGATGATTCACATCGTAGCGTGAGTGCGCATGATGGGGATACAGCAGGCATGTCACCCTCCCCGTGTGCCCATACAAAACTTGGTGAGGGGGCCAGCCTGGGTGCATACACATGAACAAAAACATCTCAGCAAGTTTTGGGTACAACATTATTTTACATATTAAGGTTTTTCAGGAAACCTAAAAGTAATATATTAGGTGGTCACCAAGTGGTATGATGGTGGAAATAACTTTCCAAGTTACTTCTTTCTTCTTAGGTATTTCTTTCCAAGTGAAAGAAATACATCACAAATATAATTAGTGGCATTTTCTGCATGCACAAGTACATTTAAGGCTAAAGGCCTTACAGCAGAGGTTCTACAGCTGTCATGAGATGTAAATGTTATTCATGCTCTGAAGGGACCTTGCTCTTTTACTATGCCCCCATGAATGCAAAACAATACTGGTTGTTGAATGATAAAGAGGAATATTGAGTTGAGCTGAAGAGCAAATGCATGCAAGTTGCAAGCCAAAGGGATCAGGTTTCTCAAGTGGCTCACACAAAGACTTCATGACTACAAAGAGAAAATACTTGAAAAGAGATGATGGAACAGGTCAGAGATAAGGCTCCCTCAAGCCACCCATCATCAATCACTTCTTCCTCATTCATTGAGAGAGAAAACCCGGACTCAGTGTTTTTTCCTTTCATCCACTTCCTGGATGAGTTCTTTCAATGTACATAACACCAATCTTTGATATGCACATGAATGCACAATGATAGAATCACACAATACCAAAAAATTGATAATCCTTGAGAGCAGACCCCTTGGTAAAGGTTCATTAAATTCCTACAGGCAAATAACATCATGGAACAGCATAATTACAAGTTTGGCTAGTCAGGCATGGGAAGTGTTCATCCTGCTAAGTAAGATCACACAGCATCAAGCCAAGAAAAAGAGCATCATCCACTAAACCAACCTTCAATGGACTGATGTCTCCCATGGAAGACCTGAAGCATGACAGTGTGTGTGGCAGGGACAATGAAGATGTGGCCATCTTCTCGCCCGCAGACTAGCCGTCCCTGTTGTGGGAGGTAGATGGTGGCTGTGAGTGCTGGTGCAGGACTCTCCAACTTTTCCTATTGGAAACCAGACATTAAACCAATGCTGAAGACCCTCATTCAATGAAGAGAATATGAATTTTGTTCAGAGCAACTGATCTCAAACTTGAAATAAATTATGCCGCAGCAGAAAAAGGTTGGTAAATGAATAATTCTGACAAGCTAACTTTAAACTAAATGTTGAGCACACTGACAACATGCAGTAAGTGCTTTGCATTAGTCTTCCTGAATATACCTATTTTCTCCATTGATCTATATGGTTTTGTACTCCACTTTTGTAGTACATTAATATCAATTCTCCCTCCCCTCCCCTTGGAAAGCCACTTTTGATATTTGTCATTTGATGAGGTTATGATGTAGCAATATGAAATGAAACTGAATTTGTCAAGTTTCTTTGTATTCCCGTTATCTTGAATATATACTTGTAATGAAAAATGCCTTTCATCCTTGTATTATATTTTAATATTTACCATTCATTTCCAATGATGGTGAACTCACAAGCTGATCCAATATGCCTGGTGGAGGTGGCTGCTTGGCATCCCATGCATCCTGAAGGCTCAGTGAATAAACAGGCTTCACTTCTGCAAGAGACATGAGAATGTTTTATGCATCTTACTACCATTCCTCTGCTTCAAAATCGATTAAGATAGGGTACCAGTTCATGGACAGTAGAGCATTGTGGTATACTGGAATTTTTATCATATTGCAGTATTCAGTTCTCATAATCACATCAACCCCTTCTACATTTTTCAGTAATACCACCATGGTATGAAAACTGTGGAATACCATCCATGTTCATACTGTCACCATGGTATGGATACTGCCTCTCATACTGTCTCCAGGGTTTGGAAACTGTAGGATACCACCTCTCATCATACCATTGCCATGACACCATTCCTGAGGAGTTGTTTCTAAAAATAAAATACTTTGCCAACTATATTCCCCATCTCCATCCATGGTGATGTCCATCACCCAGGGATAACCAAAACCTTCCTGGAAGTCTCAGAGTGTATTAAATCCTGACCCAAAGATCAAGATCCATAATTTGTGGGTTCAATTTGCGCCTTAACTGTGCCCTCTGCTCTGTGTGCCTGAGCACTCCATATCTTTGCCATGTCTTCCAAGTAGGTGGGAGTAAGGCCAGGCCCAGGTAAGCTTGGGCATGCCTACAGAACCCATTCTTTGGGTTGAAATGGATTTCCCTTTTCCATTCAATAGAATGACATAAATGTGGATGTGCGACTAGCTTGATGACATCACAATTGAAAGATTCCTCTTCAAGGGACTTTTTCTGGGAGATCGTAACTGAGGCAACCAAACCCCCCCCCCTCTGCTTCTTGGCAGTATCACTGGTATACAGCGGTACTGAGCCACGATATACCTACTGTGGAATTCAGCACATACCACAACATCCTAATGGACAGGCTAAGGAAAATTTTCTCTTGGAAATTGTACTATGGTCATTGGAATTAGAGGAGAACCACATGTTCAGTTTCAGAATGAGGGAATGTATCAAAGGTATAGATACTCTAAATTAAGTTCTGACAGCATACTACAACAACAATAGGTCTTTTAATGGCTGTGAGGATTTTCATGCTGTTCCCTGTTTGTGGATGACACCAGTTGTGAGCAATCATGAACACAAGCCTTATTGGAAGACAAAACCATGGCATGTGTGCACCAGTTTTACTCATCCTCACTACTGTACAATGGAAATGGAAGAAAAATCACTCTCTCTTCATTCCTTTTTTTCCACAAGCACTGCTACTTTCTTACTCATGAAGCACAACTTATTACAGTTGAAAACCTGATGATTGTTCTCCAATGAAGTCCACAAGACCTCCATCGCTCTAAACAATTTTTATCATACCAGATTAAAAGGTTCTCTTCTGTCACCAAAACCCCTTCCTTTCTGATGGTCTTGGGCATCCTCATCAAAATCTCAGGCCTCTGCTTCATGAATAATTTCTGACACCTTTTTCTTGGTAAGTTATTAGTGGATGGCATATTTGCTCCTCTCCTATCAAAGGCATCAGTCAGGTATCTTTATCAACATGGCAAGTTCTTAATGTGCATTTTCATACCTATAATGCTAATTTACAATGCTGACCTCATGTTTGAAAAGTTCCTGATTTTGTGAAGCGTCATTAATAAGGTATAAATCTGTATTTCTTCTCTCATTTTTCATGCTTTTATGAACTGGCCCATTCAACCACTAACATAAAGACCTTTAGTTGGGGACAATGTTCAAAATGCAATACCTCAGAATCATATATCCTTTTCACAAAATTATAGAGCATAGGATATCTGACTTCCCCATAGGTTCAGGCTCTTGTTAATGCAAAATTAACAACAAGATAAATAGCAGCAGCTAAAAACATAACACTAATGTGACATAAGATATGGGAGGGAAAGTCTTAATCGATGCAAGATCTCATGTGGATTGAATAAATAGCAAGTTTGACTTCATGCCTATATAGGTTCCAATGTCCTTTTTCCCTTGAACTCCACTAAGTAGCATAATGATACTTCGGCAACGAAGAACTGAAGCGACTGAAGAAATGCTTAGCAAACCCTTTCATTAGTGCCTCTGCTAAGGAATTGAGCATAGTTGTGTTAACACACATGTCCAATGGCTTGCCTTTCTAACTGGAGGTATCTGCTCTAAAAAAAAAATTTTTCTGGCATTTTGAAAGTTCACTCCTTGCTGTCATGCATGCAATGTCACTCAACAGGATACATTGCCTGTAAATGCATCAATTTGCCCCTTACCAGGAGGAGCCTCAAAGGTTTCCTGTTTGATCTGAGCCAGGTCCTTGTTGGGGACTTCTGGGATGACCCAGAGGGCAAGGCGGCCATCGCAGTCCCCTCGCAGCAGGTACTTCTGCAACTGGCCCCTTGAAGGAACCACCACATATTGGAAGGCTGGTGGACATTCAAGTATCTGCCAAGGGCATCCCATTCACAACACTGTTAGTGGAGACAAGAAATGCAAAGAATTGAATGAACTGACAGGGATGTCTCACTCGTGAGGAAGGAGGAGAGAGCATGCAATACAGGAAGGGTTCCTCCCCATCGGCACCCCGGTTGTGAAAGTCCTTGCTGTCCACGTTGCAGCTGCCAATGGACAGTAGTACAACTTCTGAAGCAAAATGAGGGCTTACAACTTACCACTTTAAAAATTATTTCCAAATAACAGAAAGACCATCAGGACAGTGTTGAAGCCATGCTTCACAGACAATGGGTGCATTCATGCTTCCATCAGATAACTGAATCTATGTGAAACTACCACACAGATGATATTCATTTGGACACAACTAACACAATTCAACAATGGATGCAGTATACCAGAAATAATAAAACTAGGACTTATAAAAAAAATAGATCTCAGATCAGAAAAACCCAGGAATGCTGGGTTTCCTTTTTAGACAAGGGAATCTCCTGTCAAATACTGGGTGGCTTTTAAAAACTGACTCAGCAAAAAAAATAAAATAATGTGGGGATGTTTTTCCCCCTTGGGCAAATAATACTGAATCCCCTGGCTCCCCATCTAAGCAAGAATGAAGCAATAATGCATTTGATGTCGATCAAAATTAACCTTCCCTCTTGAGAAAAGTCCTTCAGTGAAACAAATTTTAAAGTAGCATAGCTTGTGAAGAAATGAAGGTTCCTTTATTTCACCAACAACTCCTTGAAAAAGTGACATGGGAAAATCATCCAAGCCATGCAAATCAAGGCAGATCCAAAGTTAACTGAGACATTGAATTCATGCACCACTATATCCAAAGTGTGCACTGGTTTCTTACTAACCTACGGTGCTTTTTTGGCAGACAGCTGCACAGGACATGGTCACAGGGGATGGCAGGCATGGGATGAGAAAAAGACATCCCATCAATGTCATTCATCCCTACAACGTTTATGGGCATCTCCAGTGATTAGGCAAATTGGGATTAAACCACCATTGGCATTAAAGTACTTAACCCTCCTTGTGTCATATTTCTGGTGAGGGATGTTTAAAAATGCCATGCATCTTTTTACTGAAACCATAGCATTTTACAAAATATGCCCCACACCCCCCTCTGTCAGCCCAACCAGAACCAGCATCAATAAAAATTTGTGGCCAAAATATCAGCCCATAGTCCTAAGAGGGTTAAGGACAAGGATGATGAGAGGTCAGAAGTTTCTTGAAAGTTAGTATTTTTTATATGGCACATATTTTTTTCAATACTGATGGTTCTCACACAGCTTTGGAAGGCATGAATGTTGCCATCATGCAACAAATATTTTATGTTGCAGTTATCTGTTCAGATGCGATGGTGCTCAGCCTTTGTAAGTAAACTGTGGGAGCAGCCCATGTACACTAAGTTGAGAAAATTTTCTGGCCTTATTCACAATGATCAGCAATAGCCAAAAAATGACAAGAAGAATGATAAGACATGTCTGAATGAGCTATTCCTGCCTAACACCCACAAGGGATATCACAATTAAAGTGTTTAAAATACCAGGTCATATGAAATGTATGCACCCAATTTTATTCTGGGGTGTCATTTTGCTCCTCATGGCCTCTGTCAAATATACATTTTTGTCAAATTTGAAAGATGCTTTCTGATAATAAATCCATTACAAGTCGCCCTAGGCATAAAAGTTCTTCAAAGTAACCTTACACAATTTTCCACTCACAATTTCTCACCTCAAGTCAAGAAATGCAGATTGGTCAAAGGATGCTTTATAATAATTTAACAATTTTAAAAAGAAATCAGAGAAAGGAAGGTGTGGAGAAACCTCAAAGTGGCACTTAACAAGACCAAGTTCTTTTCATACAGATGGTTTTCACATATCTATGGCTTTAAGGGCACTGTCCAAGAGCAAAAGAGCATCTTTCCTAATCATTCCTGGCCAATCTTCTAACAGAATGGAAACCAGTAGTCAGAGTGGTAAAAAAAAAATAAGCAGCAGTTTGCTTTATTCATTGGTAGAACCAAAATGAATATCACAGCATTGTCCCAAAAGATAGATGCCAAGGCCTTTCATGCAGATGTAATTGTGTTGGCTTCTTTGGAGGGGGCATGCTGAAAGCTACCATAGTATGAATGGGTGCTTGTTCTCATGTGGCTCAGTGATGGATACCCACCTCTTCCATCATCACTATTATGCCAAGAAATTGCTCTTCAAAACCTTCATTTTGTCCCTGGATATCATGAGACTTTATGTTAAAGTTGCAAAATCTATGGTACCCAGAGCATGGACACTTTTCAGAATCCTAGCTGTTCCTAGAAAATAGGAAGGTGAAAAAGATGAATGCCAGTTTGGTCTTAGACCAACATTCATGCTCTCCCTGCTTTTATGAAAGTGCTCAGTCTATCTGTAGATGCTTCATTTTGTTAGAATATCATCCTGATAATCTCTAGAAAATCTGTCAACAATGGAAGTTGAATTTTACTCTTCTTCATTACCTGTTATTGCTCCCCTTTAAATACCATCTTGGAATGACAAGTGGTAATTACTGCCACCAGGTGGATGAATTTCCATATCATTATTAGGTAGGATTGATTCCATGTTTTGGTTATTGGTTATTGCATGCAACATTTGAAGCTTCTCCATGCATAAAACTGAGGGAAAAACTTCCCATTCAAGAACTTAGCAGATTAAGATTCATGGATGGTGAGACTTAAGGCAATCTGTTTCTTTGGGGGATATGTCCACTACTCATTCACACCATCACCAGTGATTTTATGAAATAAGTAAATTAACTGCTATCCACAAAATATTTCCAACCTCCTTATCAAAGCTAATCAAATTCTGTCCCTTTAGCATTCAAATAAGACATGATGCTGGCATCTGTAACTTTCACATTATGGATAAATAATAAGGGGTGTGTCCCATTATCCCCCTGCCAAATTTTCCTAAATATCAATTTTCAGTCATAGCATTCCAAAGAGATACATTAGAATTTCTAAAGTCATGCTTTGAATCAATAACAAGCTATGCATTCTATCATCAGGGAGCCCCAAACTGCTATATGCAAATTTTCAGAAAGTTTTTTTCATGTAGCATTACATTGTGCTGGTCAATTGAATTTCAAGCATCATAGTATAAGATGATTTTGAGCTCTAAAAAAAAGATGCAGATCAGCTTCATAGGATCAATCTGATTGCTGATTGGGTGTGTAACACTATTGGCAATCTGGTTGGGTGTGGATGAAAATGCACAGATTTCATGCCCTCAAGCTTAGGGACATAAGCAAGCTGCAGACCAGGCCAGTCAGTCCAACATGGTTTGAGGGTCAAACCCACCAGGTTGGGTTTGAAAAAAAGCACCTGCCAGGCCTCTGGTGGACAGGAAGACAGAGAAACATAGGCTATTATTATATAGATACATTTTTGGTTTAAAATCTCACTTGGCAGGGAGCTGGTAGACGAATGCATGACCTGAATCACTCCAGAGAATAACTCGGTCATTGGTGAGGAAATCACCACCTAGCCAGCGGTCTCCTCTCCGACTCACCACTGATGTAAGGAGTGAGAAATCCCCTGCATCATAGATCTGAAACAATAATAGATAATAAAAGAGATATACCAGAATTAAGAGCAATAAGAAGTCAATAAAATGTCCTGCAAGCCAGAATTTTACATAAAAGTCATGATATATTACCATATAAAAATGTATTTCTCCAGTATTTTGTCAAGCATATAAATTGCAATTCATGCACTTCATTACTAACCATGGTCATCTTCTCAATCATGCTAGATTAGATTTTCCTTTAATGGCATTTCTTCTAGTTGTAAAGCATTAAAATTTTTGTACCTGGTCAGTTGGTTTCAAAAAGGCCTCACCTGCCAATATTTAGAACAGACAATGAGAACAATGCGCTGATTGTAGATACAGCAGGTCATGAAGAGAGCATTCAGAGCTCGAAGTTCCTTGCTCTCATTTTCAAACAGAGGCTCTGATCCCTTTGTCTCCTTCCCCGTCAGGGTCCATACCTTCACTGTCCCAGCAGTTGTCAGAGCCAGCACAACATCATCTAAAACACAACCAAGGATGATGTACGTTGGCCTACCTGAAAATAAACTGGGGAAATGTCTTCTTGTATATTTCCCATTTCCTGAGTTACCAGGAAAGCTGATGGTACAAATAGGTAGAGCCAATAATGACAAATCCTAATTAGGCCCATTCTGTACCCAAGGATGCTGTTAAATTACATACACCAGGGAAAGGTAGCACAGATGTTTAGGGCATTATGAGACTCAACCTGTATCTTCTTCCTGATTCATGAGATGTATTCAAATGGCATTTTTATAGGCACTACTAAGGAACACCAAAAAAAAACTTTTTAGAAAGCCATTCAGGCAAAGAGGGATGAATTTCATTGCAATCTGATTAATACTACCTTCTGAGTTGCTTTCGTATCCAATCTGTCATGTCATATCCTTTTATTTCATTTTATAAAATAAGAATTGCATTCTGTATTGGTTGTAAAACATAGTGTTTATACTAAGACCATTTGTGACTTGATCATCAGCTGTATGGAGAGCAGTACAAGTAAAATAATAAAATTTACTTTACACATTCTTGCATGATTAAGCATACAGCGTCCTCAATGGTTCGCGCGTCCACGTCGCGAGGATGGACCCCAGTGATGCGGAAGGCCGTAGTATCTCAGGTCCAACCATGTTATAGGGGCTTCCGTTGAGGGTGAACTCATCATCCAGCATGATGAGTTCGGCTCGGGTACTCCATACTGACTCAGTCGTCGCCCAAGATTATCAGGACTGCGATACTCACTGTGCGCCCAGGGTGACTATTGATATGTTGGCTACTGGGGCCCGGCAATCCGATGTCTCTGGATGCGTCGGACCCCGTCATGCTACGTCCAGGCCTATCGGTCGGCTTGCCACCGGCCATAGCGTACTCTCGGCACGATGCCCCAAGGGCAGACGAGGAGCGGAATCGAACGGTAAACGACCTTGGCAACGGACTCTGAACATCGGGACTTGGAACGTGCTAGCACTCGGCGGTAAGGAGCCTGAACTCGTGGAGGAGACTAGACTGGGGCCGGGCAATCCGATGTCTCTGGGTGCGTCGAACCCCGTCATGCTACATCCAGGCCTATCGATCGGCTTGCCACCGGTCATAGCGTACTCTCGGCACGATGCCTCAAGGGCAGACCAGGAGTGGAATCGAACGGTAAACGACCTTGGCAACGGACTCTGAACATCGAGACTTGGAACGTGCTAACACTCGGCGGTAAGGAGCCTGAACTCGTGGAGGAGACTAGGAGGAGACGACTAGATATAGTTGGCCTAGCTTCAACCAAGAGGAAAGGCACCGGTTCCATTTCTCTAGACTACGGATGGACCCTCTACTGGAGCCGAGTCGACTCGACCGTGTTTGCTCAGGCTGGAGTGGGGATACTCATTAGTCCCCAACTGGCCGAAAGCGTCATTGAATGGAACCCAGTCAGCGAGCGTGTCGCTCTGATCCGCCTCAGACTGGAGCAAGTCGGAGTCGTGGCCGTTGTTCAGGTCTACGGGCCGAACAGCGAGTCAGATTACGATGCGTTTATGGAGGAGGTAGACGGAACCTCAAAGGATTCCGAACGGCGACCGCGTTGTGCTGATGGGGGACTTCAATGCACGAGTTGGGGTAGACGATGCTACATGGAATGGTGTGATCGGTCGATTTGGGGAAGCCACGCTGAACGGGAGTGCCAGAAAGTTGCTGGACTTCTGTGCTGGTAATGGCCTGACCATCACCAACACCTTCTTCCAGCACAAAGATATCCACAAGTTTACCTGGCACAGGGGGTCTGATAGTCGGACTGGTACTGTGTGTCAGCAATCGCTGATCGATTACGTGATCGTTTCGGCGGACTTGTGGGGCCTTGTGACGGATACGAGGGTGTGGCGTGGGGCAGAACTGAGCGCCGATCATCATCTAGTGGTCAGCAAACTTCGGATACGAGCGAATCTCAGAACGAGGCAGAGAACCGCACGCGTTGAAAGATGAGTGAGGTGGGAAGACAGGAACGGGGAGGTGTTGGCTGCCGAGGCGGATATACTTGGGAGGTGGAAGGAACACTTTGAAGCGCTCTTAAACCCACCAACAGTGGACACTGACCTACCCGACCTGAAGCCTCTCAGTCTCACCATGGAGGAAGTTCTGCAGACCATTGCCAGCCTGAAGAATGGGAAGTCTCCTGGTGTGGATGAAATCCGGGCGGAGACTCTGAAAGTAATGGGTACAGATGGGTGCTCTTGGCTTTATAGGGTGTGTCAGGCTGCTTGGGAATCGGGAACGGCACCTAGGGATTGGCAAAACGGTGTGGTGGTTCCTCTTCTTAAGAAGGGGGACTCGAGGGAGTGCACGAACTATCGTGGGATCACTCTCCTCAGCATACCTGGTAAAGTCTATTCCAAGGTGCTGGAAAAGAGAGCTCGGGCAGTCGTGGGTGATGCCATCCAAGAGGAGCAGTGCGGCTTTCGTGAAGGGCGTAGCACCACGGACCAGCTGTTCACTCTCCACCAGATCCTCGAGAGACATTGGGAGTATGCCAAAGATGTCTACATGTGCTTTGTGGACCTTGNACCAGATCCTCGAGAGACATTGGGAGTATGCCAAAGATGTCTACATGTGCTTTGTGGACCTTGAAAAAGCTTACGACCGTGTACCCCGAGGAAAACTATGGGGAGTGCTGCAGGAGTATGGGATCAAGGGTCAGCTATCGCGGGCCGTTCAGTCCCTTTACAGCGATTGCAGACGCTGCGTCCGAGTGAGCGGGAGGAGTTCGGATTGTTTTCTGGCACGCGCTGGACTCCGGCAGGGATGTGTCCTCTCACCTTTCCTGTTCCTCGTGTACATGGACAGGATCTGTAGGCGCAGCCTCGGCCTAGAGGGGATCGACATCGGTGACGGTAAGGATACTTCTCTCTGCCGACGATGCCGTTCTTTTGACCCGCTCTCGAGAGGAGTTCCAGAGCGTGCTCGATCAGTTCGACTCCGAATGCACTGCGGCCGGAATGAAACTGAGCGTCTCCAAGACACAGGTCATGGTCCTCTCGAGAAATCCTGCTCGGTGCACCCTGCATGTCAGTGGGGTCCCACTGGAACAGGTGGAGAAGTTCAAGTATCTCGGGGTCTGG